CCCTGCCACCGCCTCGTCCACCGCCACCCCAACCGCTGCCTCCACTCCTGCCACCTCCCCCGTCGCTGCCGCCACCACCCCCACCGCTACCACTCGCCCCTCCAGCCGAGCCACCACCCCCACTGCCTCCACCGCCCCCACCGCCGCCTCCCCCGCCATCACCGCCACCACCCTTGCCCCCTTTGCCCTTGCCGCTGCGGCGTCCGCTCGAGGCAGACGTAGCGCCGACCTTCTCAGTACCAAGAAGGTCGACAGCAGCAGCAGAGGCGACAGAGGGAAGAAGGGGGGAAGGAGAACACCCCTCAAAGAACGGGGTACGGGGGTCGCCACGAGAGGCACCTACAGCGACTATGCTAGTCTCAGCTGCAAGTAGCTCTTTCTCGAGGAGGGCAATGGTGAGCTCAGTGGGGCAACGAGCTAGGAAGTGGTCCCTGACAGCACGCAGTGTGTCAGGGAGGCGGGTGACTAGGTGGTAGAGAGTGAGCCAGAGTGGAGGGGGGTGCGTGGCAAGGAACTCAGCCGGCATGGCGGCACGGAAGCGGGCCTCACTAGTACGGAGGTGCGTGATGAGGTCAGCGACTGTGTGAAAGGAGGCCAGGTCGGGAAACAGGTAGGGGAGGGAGAGACGGCCTAGTGCGGCAGAGGTAGGTGAGGAGTAGCGAGCAACTACAGCTGTGTACAGTGCCTGTGCAGTCTTGTGCTGACCAAAGTGCTCGCTTTCGTCTATCGGCAGATAGTTGCGAATGGCGAAGCGAGCGTGGGCATCACGAGTCTGCCACTGTGAGCGAGCAGTGCTATCAGCAGTAGCAGCAGGGGCATTGACATGGCCTAGGGCGTGATCGTACAGTGAGATGTCATCCTTGGCTGTGAGCTGTAGGTAGAGGTGCAGGTCATTGAGCCAGGTGTCAAACTTCACAGGGCGGCCCTCAGCATCAAACACGAGAACCTGTGGGCTAGCCATAGGAAGAGTAGAAATAGCAGCATTAGCAGTAGGAGAAGCAGGTAGGACGAACCAGGTAGGGCAGGGCGGCGCGGCTCGGTTCAGGTCGGGTCGCAGCTCGGCTGGGTGGCGCGGCTCGGTTCAGGGCGCGCGGCTCGGCTCGGGGCGCGCGGCTCGGGTCGCGCGGCTCGGGTCACGGCGGGGACGGGCCGCCCGCTCTCCCTCGTGTGCTGCGGCGGGAACGGGCCGCCCGGAGCCTCTAGGTGGTGGGCACGGGTCGGCGAGGTCGGCACGGGGCCGGTTGGGGCCCTAGAGGGGCGAGCGCGGGGCCGATCGGGGCCTGAGCGGGGCTAGCGCGGGGCCAAACGGGGCCTTGACGGGGCTAGCAAGGGGCCGACGGGGCCTGAACGGGGCTAGCGCGGGGCCGACGGGGCCTGAAACGGGGCCGACGGGGCCTGAAACGGGGCTAGCGCGGGCCCGATCGGGGCCTGAATGGGGCTAGCGCGGGGCCGACGGGGCCTGAAACGGGGCTAGCGCGGGGCCGACGGGGCCTGAAACGGGGCCAACGGGGCCTGAAACGGGGCTAGCGCGGGCCGACGGGGCCTGAGAGGGGCTAGCGCGGGGCCGACGGGGCCTGAAACGGGGCCGACGGGGCCTGAACGGGGCTAGCGCGGGGCCTGAACGGGGCCTTAAAGGGGCCGACGGGGCCTGAACGGGGCCGCTAGGGAGAGCGGGCGTGGGGCCGACGGGGCCTGAACGGGGCTAGCGCGGGGCCGTCAAGAGGGGCCTCTAGGGGCGTGACACACCGAGGCGCCCTAGGGCACAGGTAGGTAGGTAGGTGGTGGGCCCTTAGAAAATTTCGGTCCTAGGAAGGACCTGCTCTATACCATGTTGGAATCACTTAACATGAATGAATGAACTAGCAGTGAAATGAGTACAAGTACCTTACCCTAGAATAGTGTACCCCCTATAGGCTAACCCACTGTAGCCTAAACTAACACACCATATATAATGTTTGACAAGATAGTGTGATACGCATGGACCATTGCTCGCTTCGCTTTCTCAAGTCACAACCGCAGCTGAGTCGTCGCCAGGCTAGATGGATGGAGTTCATGGAGGGGAGTTTTAATTACAGGATAGAGTACAAGCCAGGCGTTCGCAACCCAGCAGATCTGCTCACTCGCCCTAGTTGCCAGCTCGCCAACCTCACAGTCACTGCCGGCCATCCACTTCTCACAGCACTCTTCGAGCATGGTTACACAGTAGATCCCGACTTCACACCGCAGCCGCCCGCAGGAGCAGAGGTGCAGGGTAGTGTCTACATACGGAAGGGTACCACACGGATTTGGGTTCCAGCCTACCGCCCTCTTCGACAGCTCCTTCTCTCAGAGGCGCACGACGTAGTTAGTGCAGGGCACTTCGGAGCAGATAAGACGGCTAAGACGCTTAGTCGCACGTACTACTGGCCAGGGCTTGCAGCAGACGTAGAGGATTACATTCGCTCGTGCGACACGTGTCAGCGTACGAAGTCCTCTCGCCAGCGCAAAGCAGGACTCTTGCAGCCGATTCCACCGCCCGACCGCCCTTGGCCGGTAGTCACAATGGATTTCATCATGGCATTACCGCGCACAGTTAGGGGTCACGACGCCATCTTCGTAGTAGTGGATAAGTCTTCTCGAGCAGCGCACTTCATCCCCACGCACGGCAAGGTCACAGCAAAGGAAGCCGCAACGCTGTTCGTAGATAACGTAGTCCGACTGCACGGGGTTCCAGATTCCATCATCTCAGACCGCGACCCTCGTTTCACTTCGAAGTTCTGGAAGCAGCTTTTCGCACTGTTCGAGACTCGCTTAGCCTTGTCATCTGCGTACCATCCAGAGACAAACGGACAGACCGAGCGTGTGAACCAGACCTTGGAGCAGATTCTTCGCAGCATCACGATGCACGACGCAGCCGCATGGGACAAGAAGCTGAGCATGGCCGAGTTCGCCTACAACAACACGCACCACTCGTCCACAGGCATGTCACCGTTCTTCGCACTATACGGTCAGCACCCCAATGTCCCCACTCGTGTCGATCTCACACCCACAGTCCCTCGTGCGGACAACTTCCACCAGCATCTCACCTTCATTCATAATCACGTGAGGAAGCACCTTGAGCTCGCAAATGCACGCATGGCACGCACCAGCAACCGCAGTCGTCGTGAGGTGTCGTTTTCAGTTGGCGACCGTGTCCTTCTCGACAGCCGCAACCTCCGACTGCCACAGGACAGCAAGCTTCGCCCTCGTTTCATTGGTCCATTCGTCATTGAGCGTACACTAGGTCCAGTCGCATACCGCCTTCGCCTTCCCGCTCATTTCCGCATGCACCCGTCATTCCACGTGTCGCTTCTTCGTCCTTACACCGATCCCAATGCCACCTTCTCGGGCCGTGACCGCACTCCATTGCCGGTAGCTGTTGACACCGACGAGCCCGACTACCAGATCCAGCGCATCCTCAGGCACCGTCGCCGTCTCCAGGGGGTTGTCCCTTTCATCGACTTCTTGGTTCGTTGGCGTGGTTACGACACAGCAGACGACATCTGGGTTCCTTCGTCCTCGCTGTCTCCCGACAACGCTTGCCTCCAAGCGTACCTCCAGTCTGCAGGCGCCGGGGACGTCGCCTCCTTGGGAGGGGGGTAGTGTTAAGGGGGGATTTACTGTTCATTTCGAACAGTACTTTCCAGCTCACCCTTATCCTTATCTTCCTTGATTTCCTAGTGCCACGTGGTACTCTACCTTTCTTGCCTTCAATTCCTAGTCCCACGAAGTACTTTCCGACATTCGATCTTGCATGCTGTATCAACCTTGCTTGTACTTGCCATTATGAATCAATTTATGTTCAACTCTTTCGCATATTTTGCGAATAGTTCTTTCGCTAAAGTCTTCCGCCGCGTTTTCATCCTCGACTTAGTCGACCCCGCTAATTCTTTAGCGGACTTAGGCCGTCGGGCCTAACAATTGGACTCTAGCAGGTAACCTACGCACATGTTCGCCTGCGGATTTCTCGTCAAGTCATTCGGAATTCCAATTGGTTCCGTTGAGACATTCCGCGTCAAGTTCTGAACGGAACATTGGAGAGATGGGAAACGGTTTGAAGCGGTGAACTGACAGAACCGCTCAAAAGTTTACAATACCGTGCTGGAATGCGGAATATCGAACAGAAAGCAAGCAGTTGCACCAAGCCAGCGGCCCAAATTGTTCGTGCTTTTTATAGTTGACCAGAGGGAGTTTTTCTGGTGTAGGCTTTGGCGAGAGTTCGCAATTTCGTCTAGGCTCGTTTTTTATTTCGCGAGACCCAGCCAAACCTCGGTTTTCCCCCTGGTGAGTGAATCTGTCTTCGAAAGTCCCAAATTGCAGGTGCGTGACTTTCAAAAGCTTGAACACTCAACTTCGTCAAGATTTTAAAACTTGACCCTCGCGGTACGCAATTTGGGACGCGGGCTTTGAGAAGAAAAGATCAGGGGAAATAGTGACCATGGAATGCTGACATGCTTTGTGTGAGAAGAAAATATCAGAGCAGTCAGCAGCAAGGACATGGAGATAGTGTCCATAGTAAGCAAGAGGAAATAGTGTTCTTAGTAAGCAAGTGGAGGAATCAGTCAAGGAGTCAACGAACTCCTGAATTACGTAACCCGACAGAATTTCTCTTGTGATTCACGGCCACTCTAAGGCGCTTGCCGAATCGCTCGTCGATGGTTACGCTTCTCCCGCATCGGCAATTTCGCGTTTTGTTCTTCCGCAGAATTTACTGGTTTATTTGGAATATCGTGTGACTATTATCGTAAAATTACGTACCTGTCGCATTTAGCAATGGCGGCGGCTGCGGTGCTGCCGGCACCCACGCAGTGCAAAGCGGCTCGAGCCGTGGTGGCGGTAATGGAAGCGTACCGCGACGCGGGCGTGCAGTTCGTCATGAAAGTTGGCGAACTCGTGGTTTCGCCTCAGGTGCGCCTTAATCTCAGTGTCTCTCAGCATCCGAGCTTCGATCTGCGAATTCATGGCGAATTTCAGGCGAATTCATGCCGATTTCACGGCAAATTCGTGTCGAATTCATGGCGCTGCTGGGTGAGGTTCATTCTTTGCGAGTCGCCAGCTCTATTGACTCCGAATGCGTTGTCCGCCCCGCGTTTCTTCCCCCGCAGAACGCGGAGGCTCTGCTGTCGCTCGGCGCGCTGCATCTGCTGCTGCCGCTCGCGCAGGACAGCATGGCGTCCGTGCGATCCGCTGCGACGCTGTCGCTGGGTCGCCTGGCGAATGTGTCGCATACGTGGTCGCACCACCTCGTGCAGCGCAACGTGCTGCCGTCGCTCTGCAAAGCGCTCACGTCAGTCCTCCTCTTACTGAATCTATTCGTATGTGTTTTTAGAATTCGGGGATTCGCCCAGCCAGTTGATCTCTCTGCAAGACTCTCACGTCAGTCCTGCTTTGTCAATTGTTTCGTCACGTCACACCACGTCACGGTGCCTTGAATGTTTCATTTCCTGCGGTTCTCCTGCCACTGCCCGCCATGCTGGCGGTGCGCGAGACTGTTGCGTGCGCATTGGGCCACGTGGCGAAGCACGCCGGTGACATGGCGATGAGATTGGTTGAGACGGGTGCAGTGCGATTGCTGGTGACATGTCTTTAGGTGCGACTTGCACCACTGGTAACCTGAATGGCAGTAATTCGGCAGTGATTCGTGTCCCCTTATCAGTTTTTGAGTCGCCTCAAAACGGGATGGCAGTGAATGCTACTTCCTTATTACGTGCGCTCTTCCAATCTCCGCTGCATGCATCCATTCATCCGCCTGGCTCGTAGCTCGTGCCCTCCCCTCATGCCAGAACCGCATCAACTCCTCTTATATCCCGTATCTCACGTCCTCATATTTCATTTTTTTACCATTCACCTCCACAAAACTCATGTCCTTATACCTCATGGCAGGACGAGGCTGTAGCGCGTGTAGCCCTCTCACTGTTGAGTGACGTTGCACGCCATTCCCTGCTGCATGCTACAGCCGTGGCCGCTGCTGTGTCTCATGCCCTCAGAGTCGCCTTTCCATATCTCAACTTCCCATATCTCATGGCAGGACGAGGCTGTAGCGCGGATAGCCCTCTCAGTGCTGACTGACGTGGCACGCCACTCGCTGCTGCACGCTACAGCCGTGGCCAATGCGGGCGGCATCACCGTCGCCGTCTCTCTGTTGGGATCACCTGACGTCAAGACAAGGCGTCAGGTGGTGTCCTGATGCTCATGCATCCCAAAGGCCCATTACCAACCCCCCTTTGATCACCTCTGCTGTCCTCTGCACCACCACGTATGCTCCTTCTCTCCTCTTCACCCTGCAGCTGCCCTCCCCTTCTCTCTGCCCTTGTTGTTTGCTCCTGCCCGCTTCTGCACATCTACCTTGGCTTTGGATCTCTACAGCACCTCCTTTTCACCCGTTTGCACCCATCTTGACGACCCCATGTGCCTCCTTGCACACCCGCTTGTCTTTCTGCTTCGCCTGTTTTCCCACCCGTCTGCATCCCTTACAGGTCTGCGTCTGCCTTTCTACCATCGCCAGGCACTCTGAATCCCTCGCCCTGGTAAGCACCGCTCCAAACCATCCCGAACCGTCTAGAAACACCGAATGGCACATCTCCTCGCTTCACGGCATGGCCTCCTGCTGCCTACACACTCCACTATTCCGGCATGGGGGGCATGGGGGGCATTGGGCCGCTGCTCGATGCTGTGGGCACGTGGAGGGACGAGGGCGAGGGGGAGGGCATGACCAAAGGCTCCGCCAAGGTTTCAGGTCAGTGACTTCAGTTTTCTGTGCAATCTCTTTGTGGTCTCTTGTCTCCATCTTCTCAATTTTCTTGTCCCCATTCCCTGCTGCGATGTGGAGACGGTCATGCTAGTTGCGTTTGAAGCTTCCATGCACTGCCTCACTCAGTCGCTCACTTGCACACTCAATCCTTCAGCCACACACTCCTGCTCACGCACTCCCACCCACCCACCCACCCACCCACACACACACACACACGCACACACACACACACGCACACGCACACACACACACACATACCTCCTGCTTTCCAACTTTCATTGTCTGATTTCCATCCCCTCTCCCCTTTTATCTCTTTCCACCCCCACACATTCTCTCCACCCCCACACATTCTATTCCCAGTGGTGGTGGCGCTCGGCTTCCTCGCAGCTTCCTCCCTCGATGCAGCGCTGGCAGTGGCGATGCAGCGCTACCATGTGATGCAGCGCTGGCAGGGGTGGCATGGGACGGTATGGGGTGGCATGGGACGGCATGGGGTGGCATGGGACGGCATGGGGTGGCATGGGACGGCATGGGGTGGCATGGGATGGCATGGGACGGCATGGGGTGGCATGGGACGGCATGGGGTGGCATGGGACGGCATGGGGTGGCATGGGACGGCATGGGGTGGCATGGGACGGCATGGGGTGGCATGGGACGGCATGGGGTGGCATGGGACGGCATGCAGCGCTGGCAGGGGTGGCATGGGACGGCATATCCCCGCTGCAGGACCGCCTAGTGGAGGGCCATGCTGACGCCACTCTCCAAGGGGCCTGCGCGTGGGCACTCTCACGTGGGTAAGGATGTCTGGGGATGGGTGGGGATGGGTGGGGATGGGTAGGGATGGGTGGGGATGGGTAGGCATGGGTAGGGATGGGTGGATGGTTGGGGATGGGCGGGGATGGGTGGGGATGGGTGGGAATGGGTAAGCGTTTGCGACTGACGAGCCTCAAGGCAGAGCGTGTGCTCAGCTCAGGGCATGAGGACGATGACAGGGAAACGCTGAGGAGGCAATGGGGCATGTGGGTGCTTCAGCGCTGCACTTGCTTTGCCCCCTTGCATCACCTTCCTCCCCCTTCCTCCCCCATTCCTTCTGCCTTACTTCCGCCATCCTTTTATTTCCCCCCTTTCTGACGCCTTCTGCATCCTCATGCATTCCGCCTTCTCTCTCCCCTTCCGCTATAAGACTTCATGGGATCCGAGAGACCATTTTATCTTTCTGCAAGCCACTCACGTCTTGGGATGCAACCTCTTTGCCCATTCCCTCCTCTTCCCATCCGCCCCCCCCATTACCCATGTTCCCTGTCCCTTCGCTCTCTGAGACCGCAGCAAGTGATGGACGAGGGTGAGGGCCGGCCGGCAGCGTCCTCACCAGACCAGACGCAGCGCTGGCAGGGGTGGCATGGGACGGCATGGGCTGGCATGGGATGGCATGCAGCGCTGGCAGGGGTGGCATGGGACGGCAAATCCCCGCTGTAGGACCGCCTAGTGGAGGGCCATGCTGACGCCACTCTCCAAGGGGCCTGCGCTTTGGCACTCTCACGTGGGTAAGGATGTCCGGGTATGGGTGGGGATGGGTATGGATGGGTGGGATGGGTGGGGATGGGTAGGAATGGGTGGGATGGGTGGGGATGGGTGGGGATGGGTGGGGATGGGTGGGAATGGGTGGGAATGGGTAAGCGTATGCGACTGACGAGCCTCAAGGCAGAGCGTGGGCTCAGCTCAGGGCATGAGGACGTTGACAGGGAAACGCCGAAGAGATACCCCTTGCTTCAGCCTTCTCTCCCCCCTCCCCTTCTGCATCCTCATGCATTCCGCCTTCTCTCCCCCCTTCCGCTATAAGACTTTATGGGATCCTAGAGACCATTTTATCTTTCTTCAAGCCACTCACGTCTTGGGATGCAACCTCTTTGCCCATTCCTTCATCGTGTCACGTCACGATGCTCTATACGTTCAGTTCCTGTAAGTCACGATGCTCTATACGTTCAGTTCCTGTAAGTCACGATGCTCTATACGTTCAGTTCCTGTAAGTCACGATGCTCTATACGTTCAGTTCCTGTAAGTCACGATGCTCTATACGTTCAGTTCCTGTAAATCACGATGCTCTATACGTTCAGTTCCTGTAAGTCACGATGCTCTATACGTTCAGTTCCTGTAAGTCACGATGCTCTATACGTTCAGTTCCTGTAAGTCACGATGCTCTATACGTTCAGTTCCTGTAAGTCACGATGCTCTATACGTTCAGTTCCTGTAAGTCACGATGCTCTATACGTTCAGTTCCTGTAAGTCACGATGCTCTATACGTTCAGTTCCTGTAAGTCACGATGCTCTATACGTTCAGTTCCTGTAAGTCACGATGCTCTATACGTTCAGTTCCTGTAAGTCTCCTGCCATTCTGCTGTTTGAGTTGGCTCACAAGTGCTGCCTTCACTCTGCAAGCCACTCACGTTTCTCCTGCTGCTGTGTCCATTCCCTCTTTCTCTCCCTCCACCTTCTCGTCTTCCCTCCAGCAGTTCCCATTGCGACCACAAGCGCGCAGCAGCATATCTAGTCAAGGCCGTGTCACGCCACGCTGGCACTGAGCTGGCAGAGGCGGGCGTGCTGCCGTTGCTGACGGAGTGCCTTCTGGCTGCCATGCTGGCGGTGCGCGAGACTGCTGCGTGCGCAATGGGCCACGTGGCGAAGCACAGCGGTGACATGGGGATGTGAGTGGTTGAGACGGGTGCAGTGCGGTTGCAGGTGACATGCCTGCAGGTGGGACAACAGTCTGCAAATCAGCAGTAACTCATTCTTTCAAAAGGTCCATGCTCGCGGCAAGCATTTCTTTTCTCATGCTCTTATTAACTTCTCCACGCGTCCTGTGTTCTGCCTTTTGCCCTCCATCTCATGCCCTTGTACCGCTTATCCCCATATCCCATGTTCCCATATATTATCTCATTTCCCCATATCCCATCTCCCAGTATCTCGTTTCCCCGTATCTCATCCCCCGATCTCCCATAGCAGGACGAGGCTGTGGCGCGGATAGCCCTCTCAGTGCTGATTGGCCGTCTCAGGAAACCACCTCGCGTGGCACGCCCTCTCGCTGCTGCATGCTGCAGCTACGGCCGATGCGGGCGGCGTTGCGGGAGGCGTTACTGCTGCCGTCTCTCTGTTGGGATCACCTGACGTCAAGTCAAGGCGTCAGGTGATTTCCTTGTCCTGACACATGTTGCTTGAATGTACTGCTCTCATCTCATGCCAACCATGTCGTTGCTCATGCGTCCCCACCCCTCTCATGCACACGTTTCAGCCCTTTCTGATCACCTCCAGTCCCCTGCAGCACCATGCTTGCTCCTTCCCTCCATTTCACCCTGCAGATGCTCTCCCTTCGTCCTGCCATTGCCGTTTCTTCCCGTTTGCAAATATGAACAAATGGGATTTTCTACCATCTCTAGTACCCAAGCGTATGAAAACAAAGGAGCCGATATCCGTGGAAATCATCAACCGCAATGTCCATATTGTCGTGAATTACACTGTATTGAATAATCATCAACGTGGAACCCTTTATTTCTCTTCATATGTAGCCTTGAAATCTAATAATATAACTTGTAGTTTCACCCCGCCAACACCAATTTTCATTTAGAGAGCAGTTTAGGGTGCAGACAGAGACTAGTACATGAGTGCATCAATTTTAGTGAACTTCGAGACAGTTTTATGAATGGCTTAGCGACATGTCATCAGGGACCACTAGTTTCTTCAGTTTCCCAAGGGCTTCGCTAAGCAGAACGACATCCAGGGCGCTAGGCAGGAGGAACAAATGGTCGCCCCAGGACGAAGCAGTTTTCCCGCTTTGCCGAGTTTCTAGCGGGCTATGCGGAGACTATTTGCACGTTCTGGTAACCATCTCTCGGACGATCGCAAGGCAATTCCTCGATGTCAAAGCTACGACTCTTCAGGGCGTTAGTGCCCTCGGCTCTGCTTCTAGACTCCTCCGCAGCAGCCAGGACAGCAGCAGGGGCTGCAGCGATTTCGCAAGCCGGAGGTCTTACCGCCCAGTCGTCGCAGCATTGCGCCGATCTTAGCCATTGCTTCGCTACTGTCGCTTCGCCTCATCGCAACCAGCAAGATCCATCAGCAGAAGCGGAAATCGCTAGCTCGAACGATCAGGAAGCCGATTCGCTGGTCCTGTCTGGCGCAGGTGATGACGGAAGCCGATCGGGCGCAGAACGACCCGCGGGTTCATCAGATGGACGCTCAGACGGGGACGATGGTTTTCGTGTTAGATCGGAGCCGTGGATCTTCAACCTGACCGAACTTCCTCCTGATTCGACGGCCGCGCGTTTGTCAGAGGAGAGCAAGGAGAACATGTGGCTGTTGCATCAGAAGGATCCGGGTCATTGGAGCGTCGCACGGCTGGCTCGCGAGTATCGCGTGCGACAGCAGCGAGTGCATGCGATCCTGTGGCTCAAGGATCTGGAGAAGAAGATGGAGGAGGAGCAAGGCAAGCCTCTTGATGACTCCATCGCGAAGGAGTTTGAGAAGCAGCATGGGTTCGTGTTTTCGGCTTTTCTTTTAACGACTTTTGATATCACGGGTTTGAATGTGTGTCTAACTATCTTCACACTTGATCGTTCACTTTCCCGTTTCGTCTCCCCTTCCAAGCACCATCCGTCCTCCATCCTGTCCCCCTGTCCCAACCCCCCACCCCCCCCCCCCCCCCCCTCCCTCTCCCCCCCTCCCCCCCTCCCACTCTTGCTTGCCTTCTTCAACTGCCTCCCCCTGTTTGTTTCAGTTCCTACGACAAGGCAGTGGGAGAGCGCCATGTGAAGATCTACCCGAGTGAAGCCGTGGACTCGCTTCCAGAGGGGCCGGAGAGAGTGAAGCTGCTGCTACAGGAGTCTGAGAAGGAGGAGATGTGGAAACTGGACGAGTTTGTCAAGAGAATGGAGTTCAACAAAAAACAGGTACTTAATTGTCTTATTTGCACGCACTTGTGTGCGCACACCCACATGTACATGCACGCTTGCATGTGGACACCCACACACACAGCAAATGGCTATTTTCACTATTAATGTTCCTCCGCTGCATCATTCTTTACAAATGCTGGGATTTTGTGGATTATACCCAACATTTCCCTGCACTTGCCCATCCTCCTTGTTAAAAACTCTGCATGACCTAATGCTCCAGATGGCCGATGGCCCAGTTAAAGTCAATGCAATGGAGCGCCGTAGGCCTCCAAATGGCTGGACTTACCTTGTGGAAGAGCTTGGGGAGGCTGGCCGACGCGGTCGTGGTGGAGGCTATCGCTTTGTGGTTGAGCCTGGAGCTCGGCGGCGTGGTTTAACTGCCTTGGAGAAAGAGTTTCTAGAACGAGAGACCACACGCAGACGTCGCCGTCTCATCCCAAAATAGAGGGCGGTTTCCTAGTCAGCCCTCTTCCTTCACACTTGGTTCTTGAGCGCTAGAGCTCCTGATTTTGTTTTTGGTTACAAGCTGAGAGTAGATCTGGTATCAATGTCCACTATTCTGTCCGTGAGAAGAATCTCACATGTGAATTACGGTATAATACATGATCTTTATATTCGTTTGTTCAATTCTGTGCTACACTCACCCTTCATGGTCAGCAAACGTCCCATTTTCCCACAGAACCTCGGGAGCTGTTCCTCTTCGTCGCTTCTCGCGCCGAAAACTCGGTGCTCCATTGGCTGCAGGTTGGTTCGGTCCGAGTCGGTGGGCTCTGTCAGGGAGGACAACCAGCCTGACATTTTTAGGCAAGGCCAGGTCTCCACCCCGAGTCGCTACTTGTAGGCCGAGAACCTGCTTTTCCGCCTCAACTATCTCACTTCTTGGACTATTTTTTCTGCTGGTGCGGAGCCCACGCAGTGAATCTTACTGATCCCATTGTTGTTTATCATCGTAAACCTTATCACTAATTGGTCTCTAACAGCTTCGGATAGTAAAACCCATTCGATCTCCTGTCACGTACAATAGCTCTCATTTGACGCTTGTTGCTTCGAAGTTTGTCACTCCGCTGATTTTCATCTCGATACGAACACGCTATAGTCCCATGCTTCGTGTTTGCCTGTTGAACTCTGATTTACTTTTTTCTTAACGGTCGCCTAGCTTTCGCGAAAGAACGACATTGAAAGCCTACTGGGGCGTCCTTCAGTCAAGAATTTGGCATGAGGTCTCTCAAAGGAAAGCATGTGGTCATTACCGGAGGTTCAAGTGGAATCGGTCTCGCGTGCGCTAAACGCTTCTTTCGCGAGGTACTTTGTGTTTTAGGCTAGCTACTGTTATTTCTTCATTGCTTCATGCAGAACCGTAGAGCTGTCCCCTTTTTCCGAGACAATAGTTCGTGATTTTTTTCCGCTGACGCAGTCCGCAGCCTTTCTCTATGTCGCGCGTGATTACGGCAGGGTGCTAACGTGACATTGATTGCTCGAAATCACAAGAAGCTGGTTCAAGCAAGGAATGAGGTGGAAGCTTGCCTTGACAACGCTACAACCCCTTCAAGCAACACCAGGACCACGCTCATCTCCCCTAATCCGTGGGTATCGATCAAGGTTCGTCTCATATTGACAGATTCATCTTTCTGTCAAAATCATTATCGGATGTAAGGTTCCTACCTGTGTAGCTGAAATCTTCTCGCACTACAAGTGTTCGCAACTTGTTAAGCCTCTTCAACATCCTCCATCGGTTCCTAACTTCGCCTCATTCCCTGCATTTTCCTTTCTCTTCCAGTCCGTGGATGCGACTGACCAGGCGGCTATCAAGGCAGCGATCACATCAATAGATGAGGAGTGCCCTATTGACATCCTGCAGTGCAATGCCGGCATTGTGAGGACCGGACTTGTGGAAGACTTATCGGCTGAAGACGTGCAGTCACAGGTTCACACCAACTTCCTGGGGAGTGTGTACCCAGTGCAGGCTGTACTCCCAAGCATGAAGGCTCGTGCCGATGCTGGGGAAGAGCCTGGTGCTATTGTCTTCACGTGCTCCCTAGCAGCTCTGGTAAGCCTTACTAGTCATCATATTTATCCCTTAATTTGCGCTTACGAGCTGACCATTGATCTTTCACGCTTGCACTTCTTTCAGCTGAGCTCACCTTAAAATCTGCTCGTCCTCAAAATAGCATTGGTGTTGTAGTCTGACCCTGATTCTTTGCTTCCTTTTTATTTACTAATACGTATGGCAGAGCTTCTGGTATGGAGCTTCGATATATACGGCCACTAAGTATGCAGTCAGAGGATTCGCTGAGGCTTTGCGGCTTGAGGTTCTACCGTACAACATTCAAGTGTCACTGATATGTCCAGGCTTCACAGACACAGCACTACTCGATGATGGTGAGCCAACCTGCCTTCGCTCCTCCCTTGTGCTATTTTTTTGCCACCGCGACAACTTACCGACGTTTTCGCATTCCTCCCTGTCCTGGTTCTCTTGTCACCCAAACCAGCCGAGTTCACTGGCAAGCATTTAACCAGATCAATGAAAATCGCATGCTTCTACGACCGCAACAACGTCGAATCTCCAGACTCCATAGCCCAATGCACAGTAGTGACTGTTCGTTCTGGGGAGTTTTTAGTAGTCACGACACATGGCATTGTCCCACGGACACTCTGCTCTTTGTCGAGAGGGATTTTTCCATCCAACAACATCGTCATGTGGCTGTTCGAGGTCATTTGGGCCTTCGGCTCCAGGATTGTATCACTGCTGGTCCGTGTGCTCATCTTCTCTGGATTGCGGGCCATCCACAGGCAGCAGCAGCAGCAGGAGCAACGGCAGCATGAGAAGGGGTTGCAGCAGCCGGCAGGGAAAAAGAGGAGTGGAGCCGTGTCATAGAAACCCGTGAAAGTTCAATGGCCAATCAGCATGGCAATGTGCTGGAGGTCCATGTGCCATGATGCTGATCCTTCAACAGCCCTATTGGTCAAAGCCCACTTCAACCTACTAACACATACCTTGTCAGGCAGACCGCAATGCACTAACAACCATTTGTATTTGCAGGGAGTTATTCTTTCATGATGACCTGGTTCATCTCGAGGCAGATTCAATGTGCCTTGTACTCATCACTTGGAAGTGTGGAGGTTATGAACAAATAAGCAAGTGGAGGTTCTGATTTGAAAGCCATATCCATTGAGAAGACTTGCTAAAATACGATGGAGAAGCGATACCCGCCCTCATGTCTAGAAGTTCTCATCTTCTAGTACAGCAGCAGTGAGCAAAGCAATATCTGGCCAAATCAGCTGATTCTCCAAGTAAATGTCCCATCTACCGTATGTGGCTCATGCATACTGAGGATATCAACAGGCTGGTTCTGTATCAGCACTGTAAGAGGAAGGCTGAGGCTGTATCCATAAATATAGCATCATGCACATCTATAGTGACCTGTACCAACTAATACCGTCATCGCCCGGATAGAAGACATATATGTCTTATCTTATACATTAGAAAAAAAGCTTGCTGTGTCTTGTAATTGGGACAGTTTAGGGTGTCTTATAATTCTTATAAATGGACAAAAAACCGTTTAGAAGATACCCCCTAGTCATAAGATTGCCCCTAATCCCTATACTGGCTTAACTTGTACACACCGACAGTTGTCTTATAATCAGGAACACCCATATATAAGAAACACCCGTTTTAACGACACCCCATGTCTTCAATTCGACACTGTCTTATATCCGGGCGATGACGGTATGCTAACTTCTAATGGCAGGCTATTTACCACCGATCGCGTGAAATGGCGGTGAAGGAGCTATGCCTCATGAGTAGGAGAGAAAGTGGCGCCTCAACTCCACATCAATCATACGTCATGGGAGCTTGACCGCATGATACTGGGACCAATGAAGAAGTTTTTCTGTACGGCGCGAAGTAGGCGATCTGGAGACCAGCGGTACGAGGGAATGTTCGTCAAGATGTCCCTGTGTGACGGAGGTAAGACACAGAGAGACCGAAGTGAAAGAAGAGGGATTCTTTCAGACTGAGAAAGAGCTCTAGAAAAATGAGGAGAGATGCACACAGAAATTTGATGAAACCATCCAACAACCAACTGGAGGTACGCAGACATGGTCATCGAGGGAGCGTACGCACTCATATTTGTTGCACATGCATGCATGGTAAAATGCCTGTGGATCGCACATGTGGGGCTCATGATCACACTGGAAGGAAGGGGTGAGAAGGCACCTGTGTGGAATGAGAAAGTCCTTGTATTTGTCATGCAGCGTCGTAGCCAGCAGTTGTCGAATGTTCCTGCGTGTGCTGATGTGCACTATGTTCCAGCTGCCCTGCAGAAGTGCCAGCTCCTCAAAGGCTGCATTGAACCGCTTTAACCTGTCAAGGGGTATCATGCAGGGCCATAGCAAGGTAGGTGAGCAACTGTGAGGTGGGATGTGTTTCGAGAACATAGTTGGAAGGTGACAAGATCCAATGCACTGACCTGATCCTGAGCTCCTGAGCATTGAGTTGAAAACTGGCCTCCATGCATAGAAGGTGAGAGCATATCTGAAAGCGTAAAGAAGGTAGTGCATGGAGAGATTTATGGTGGAGCGTATGGTATGGGTGTGGCTGGTATGACTGGTAAGTGCCAGCGGAACTTCTATATGGCCGCCTGTGCATTGTCAGGAGTGCACGGGATTAAATAGCATCTAAGAGCTGTAAGAATATGCGCTCTACTCGCACGAAGAGGCTCACCTTGGCAGTGATAGCGTCTAAAAAGGCTTGTTCACACTCCTTGAGCCGCTCAGACTGTTTCATAGCCTCCTTCATGCTCGTGCTTGCACTGCACAGAGAACAGAGAGCAGAGAGCAGTTGAGTCTTTCACTACCCAACCCACTGCTCTATCCGCAACTCATTAACCAACGGATTTATGGGCAAGTGGCCAGTTCAGAGAATAGTCATGCACTCACAGAGAGTTGGAGACATAGGCAGTGTTGTTGAGCATGAAGAGAGCAGCAACAGTACTCTCTGCAATGACCTCTGCCCGCACTTGCATGTTGTGGTGCAGCGCTGCCAGCAGGTCACTGATCTCCTCGTTTAATACTCTCCTTGTGCCTGTTTCCCCTCCTCTTCTCCTGTACACGCTCTCCAGCATGCGCGCATACTTGGAGCCGTCTCTGTGGGAGAGCGACGTGAGAGCGAGGGGTTAAGGAGGCGGTGGTTGGACGAGAAAGACGCGTGTGTGCTTGTAAGACTGGTGCATGTGTGATAGCATGCTTGGTTGTCGCATACAGCTACTCACTCACTTCTACGCTGGTTAGTAACACTCATATCCATCCCATGGTCATCACTCACTTGCGCAGGAGCTGGTTGACGTAGTTGACAGTGTAGCTGGTGATGGCATGTACTGACACATCCGTCTCTTCCCTTGGCCTCTCCTCCGCTGGCGCCTTCCACAACCTGCCATAGGCCAGACGGAATGCAGCTTGTAGCTTCTCAACGAGATGCTCATCGTGGGTACAAGGACCAAGAATTGATGCGGTGGAGCTCACACTGCTTGCCCCCTCTTTATCTCTCCCTTCCACCTTCACTCCTCAAGGCACAATGTGGAGAGCCAGCAGCTACGGTATCTCAAGCTGCATCTACACCATTCACCTTCTTCAACACCTCCTCACCCCAGTCTATTCCGATTCCACCCCGTTTCACCGCACTCCACTCACCTGAAAATCTTTTGTGCAGACCGTGGCGATGCTGCAACAGCCATAGCCTGCTGCGCTGCACCCACATCGTTCAGCCTCTCCTTGAGCTTATCGATGGACGCTATTGCTGATGATGTCAGCAGTTTTGGCAGCTTCTTCCATTGCTCATGGGCTTTTTCCATACCTGCTGCCATCAGCACATCTTCCATCTGCATGGGTGAGTGAGTGGAGAGGGGAGGGTCAAGCAAGGCAGGACGGGATTGTATTTTAGGCACCTTGGCGATAGAAAAACTGCTGTCACAAGCACATAGTCTATCCGATTTGATGGATGGAAAGGAGAGGCAAGTACAGCAGGAGAGCGAGATTTGTTTTTGAGACACCATCAATTAGAACATGAAAACTGTTGTTCTTCCTTTCCCCTTTCCTTTGAGATCATGTCTTGGTAACCATGGTGCTAGGTATCCACTCACTCACTCACTCACTCACTCATTTACTCAATTACTCACTCACTCACCTGTGACCCAAGGTCCTGGGTGGCCTGAATCATATCCAGCAGACTGAACAGCTTCTCCGGCTGCTCATCAGAGGAGCAGATGGCAGCAGCGTTGCCGCACAGCAGATGCAGCGCCTGCTTCAGCGCTGCTGCTCGCCGCACAATGCGGCGGAAGGAGCGGGTGGAGAGGGTGTGGGAGAAGAGGAACACGCTGTCGCAGAGGAAGCGCTCCGCTACTAGCAGCACGTCCATCTGCTTGTAATGGGTATGAGATGGGAGGGAGCGGGTAAGGTTAGAGTGTGAAACCAGAGCTTCACACTCAAGGGTGCCACTGTCAGATAGCTTGACCCGTACTCACTGACTTACCAGCAGGTAGGCATGTAGCACCCAGGGTTTGAGAAACACCTCCTGGGCTCTCCAAAGCAGGGTGGAGAGGGAACTGAGTCGACTTCTAAGTCGACTGAAAAGTCAAGCTGATACTCACCACTGGACTCACCAGCAGGTAGGCATCTCGCACCCAGGCCTTGAGAAAGACCTCTTGGGCTCTCCAAGTCAGGGCGGAGAGAGCACTGAGTCGACTCAAAAGTCAAGCTGACTGTTGCCACCGGACTCACCAGCAGGTAGGCATCTCGCACCCAGGCCTTGAGAAAGGCCTCTTGGGAACTCCAAGGCAGGGCGGAGAGGGCAGGGGCGCGCACTTCCCCCATCTCCAGAGCTGCTATGGCTGCTTCAAGGGCTGTTGCCCGCAGTGCGCTGGGAAAGTGAGGCGTAAGGTGTATAAGAGAGGGTGGGGGGATGGAGGGAGGAATATCATATATAACTAAAGGTGGAGAGGGCAAGGGCGCGAAGTCCCCCCATCTCCAGAACTGCTATGGCTGCTTCGAGGGCTGCCGCCTGCAGTGTGCTGGGGACGAGAGGTATATGGTGTGCAGCAGAGGGTAGAGAGAGGGACGGAGGTATATGGTGTACAACAGAGGGTAGAGAGAGGGACGGAGGTATATGGCGTATAAGAGAGGGTGGGTGGAGGGAAGGCGGTGCGGATATCATATACAATAGAAGGCGGGATGGTGAGTGGCGCCCGATTTCCTTATTCCCAGAGCCGCTATGGCTGCTTCGAGGGTTGCTGCCCGCAGTGTGCTGGGACAGGAGGCTTATGGTTACAGCTAGAGGAGAGTGACTTTTGAGTCGACTCAAAAGTCACCTCGACTCAAAAGTCACTTTTGAGTCGACTCAAAAGTCACGAGGGTTGCTGCCCGCAGTGTGCTGGGACAGGAGGTTTATGGTTACAGCTAGAGGAGAGTGACATGGAATGCAAGGGAAACGTTTTGGGCTGCTTCAGAACGAGGATGGCGGAGGGCCAGAAAGGGTGATGCTTCAGTTCAGCCGCGGAAGACGGTGAGTAAGGAGACAGAGAAAGAGAGACAGTTCAAAAGCAGCAGCGTTGGGACTTGTGCGGTTGGTGATAAGTATCAAAGAAGCGGCAGGTGGTGATGAGGTGAAGCAAGGGCCCAAGGGTTGTGAATAGCAAGGGCCCAGGGGTTGTGATTCAAAGGCAGATCGAAAGGCGGAGAGGGTAAAGAGGGGAAAGAGGTGGAGAGAGGAGAAAGGTGGGGAAGAGGAGAGCGAAATTTATACCAGTACTCGACCAAACACTCTTTCGCTTTGCCCCCATCAGCTAGCTGCTGAGCGATTCTCTCCAGAGAAGGCACAGCCTTCACAGGCAACCATGGCACCAACTGCTGCTGCCCATCCCCCTCCATCCCCCCTCCTCTCTCACTCCTACCCACTGCTCCTCCTATTCCCCCTCCCCCAACTCCCCTTGGTCTTGCCAATGGACCAGAGTCCCCCTTCCGCCCTCTCGCTCCCCCTAAAGGGGGAAGGGGCTCCGTCCCCCCGGTTCCTGCTCTCAACCCCCCTGCACCTGCCCCTGCCGCCCCTGCCCCCGCCCCACCAGCAGGAGATCCTGTTACAGTCACATTTGTTCCGGATTCCCCACTTAACGCCCCTCTCATGCTTCTCCGTGGTACTACTATTGTGAAATTCGCTGCAGCAGACTGAGACCGACCGTGCCTGCTGGCTCGGCTCTGCCGAGCCTGACTCGGCAGGTCCGGGAGCGGATACAAATCCTCTTCCTCCTGAACCTGCTGCCGATCCCCCTCCTGCTGCTTTTTCTGCTGCTCCCTTTCCCGGCGTGAGAACCGGCGCGCTCCTTCCGCTGCTGCGTCTGATTCAGCCCGAACCAATTTTGAGGTTCGGTTCTTCCGGGCGTGGATCGCAGACACGGCACTCACAATAGACGCAGGTCCGGACATCTGGACTGGAGACGGCAGCAGACTCGGGATGTCTTTTGCAGCTGCCCGGGTGCTTCGGGACACCGAAGCAGAGCTTCCCGAGCCTGATGTGTCTGAGAGAGGAGAGAACGTGAAATTGGAGGAACCCCCCCCATCGTCATCCTCATCCCCATTTGTGGCAGCCTCGTTTTGAGCACAAGCACCATGGTTTCCGCTAGCATTTGCACCTATCCTCGCATGGGATTCCGCTGCAAAGGTATCTTCTACTTCCACGGCTTCAAATTCCGCAAAGAGGGGATGCGGATGGGTCTGCTTTGGGGATACCAGCTCAGGATTGGTTGGAATCTCTACATGTGGAGTGTTGAAACGATGCACTGAACCTTTCCTTGATGCCGCCGCCGCCGCCGCCACCGCCGCCGCTGCTGCTTCTCCTCCCATTCCTTCGGCACTTCCTGCTTCTCCACCAGCCGTCCCATCCCTTCTAGCGGCCACAGCAGCAGCAGCGGCAGCAGAAGGGCTCGGGGTTGGGGAAACCTGGGAGTTACGATGACGCATTCCGAACGCTGCGAGCAGGGGATCGCGCGCAAACAGATCGTCTGACATCGTGCGCTTATGCACGCTCGCTTCCTCTTCTGTCATCCCTCTGTGGTCCATACCAATCCCTGCCTCCTTCCCTTCACCGCCAGTCCGTAACGCCGCTCCTCCTCTTCCTCTCCCTCCTCTCCCTCTCCCTCCTCCTCTCCCTCCTTCCCCTTCTCTCTCCCCAGTCCCTCCACTCTCTTCTCCTATTTCGCCTGCTAATGCCGCCTCTTCTGCAAATGCATCCATTTCTGCTGCTGCTGCAGCAGCAGTAGCAGCTGCTGCCAGTTTCCCAAAAGGATCCAGAGTGATGGGCGGCCGAGTCGACAGCTTCTTGAATCGCTTCACAAGTGCACTGTACTGTGCACTGTACATGGGGTTGACCGCTCTGCTGGTACCTCCCCCACTGCTGCTGCTGCTGGTGGGGCTGCTGTTGCTGCTATAACTGTGAGAAGCCCTCACGTTGTTGCTCGCTGCTGCTGCCGTCGGTGCTGCTGCTGGACCATAACTCCCCCCCTCATCATCAATAGCAGATAGGCTCTTGCTGTACCGCGAGTTGCTTATGCTGTGTCCACTGCTGACCCCACCAGAATCAGCAGCAACAGCAGCAGCAGCAGCAGCAGCCCCAGAACCAAGAGCACCATCACCAGCAGACACAGAGCGGGGGAGAGGCGAAGCAGATCGGACACTGAGGTCCAAAACAGCCTTTGCCATGGGCACCTCAAACGCCTTGCAGTGCTTCACGAGGCTATCCTTGAACTCCTCTATAAGCATTTCCATGCATCGCTCTATAAGCATGTCCACATCGCCCAGCACCTTCATCACCTCACCTTCACTCCCAGCACGCAACCGCCCAAACCCCAACCCTAACCCTAATCTTAACCGTCCTAACCCAAAACCCTCACTCCCAGCCAGTTCTCCTTGGTGATCTCTAAACCCGTTCAGATCAACGCTGTCTACTGCTGCTGCCGCCGCTAGAGCTGATCCAAATATGGTCGGCGGCTGACTGGCTCTCCTCCCCAGCTTCTTTTTCCTCATCGCATCTGCGAATCCCGCTTCTTCCATCGCTCCTCCTCCTCCTGCTTCTTCCCTTCCGTCCGTTTGATCATCACCATAGTTGGCAGCAGCACCACTGCTGCTGCCATACCCCCTGGTCCCCCACACTCCCATGTCATCTCTGCTGCTCTCCCCGCCTTCGTAATACTCCGCCCCCCTTCCGCCCATGCCGTCACCCGCTCGTCCCCCCGCCCCTCCAGCACCCCCCTCTTTGTCGTTTAGCCGCGCGCGCAGAGCCTTCTGGATGGCACAGAGGCGGGCAGTGCCGCCCAGAAAGGTGTCCAGCTGCCAGCGTGGACCGACCGCCATCACTGCATTCAGCTGCCCAGGTAGCAGGCGGAGGGGGGCCGGGGAGGGGGGAACGGAGAGGCGAGGGGAAGGGGGCCGGGGGGGAAGAGGGGGAAATGGGAGAGGGGAGGGGTTGCGGGAAATGCATCTGCCCATCTGCCAGCGCGGCCCGACCGCCACCACTGCATTCAGCTGCCCAGGTATCGAGGGGAGGGAGGCATGGGGGTAAGGGGGGCGCGCGTGGGGGGAGGGGAGAGGGGGCAGGGCAAGGGGAACGGAGAGAAGGAAGCGGGGAGTGGGGAGCGGGAAGGGGGAATAGGGGGACGTGGGGAGGGGAAGGGGGTTGGGGGGGAAAAGGGGGAAATGGAGGAAGAGAGGGAGGGGGTGGGGGAAAGAGGGGGAGAGCGTGTCACGAGTGTGGAAGGATTGTGGTGAGCGGTGCGCAAATAACGTTCTTACTAAATCTCAAGTGAGGTTCCGAAAAACCGGAACAAATGGCTTCTATCTCGTCTATTCCCTTCCTTTCCTACACCGCTTCCCCCGCAACAACAGCGCGGTGCCGCGATCGCATGCGACGCGGGGAAAGCAACGCACCTCGTGAAGAATGGCCTTCGCTTCCTCCGCTATCGTGCGGTTCGGCGCTAGCTTGCGCGTCCATGACGGCTCTTCCATTGACGAAAGGCGACGTCACCTGATGGCTGCGTCGGCGACTAAGGTAAGCGAAACGCGAATATGAGCGAGAAGAAAGGAAGTTCGGTTGGACACGTCAACAGGAACCTACTCTCCCTCTGGACAAAGGTGAGTGCAAATCCGAAAATACGAGTCAGAAAGAGAGAGCCACGGGTCTAAGTTCTGGTTTGGACAGCCGTGAAACTACGCGAAGAGAATGTAGGCACGCGCCTTGGTTGTAGACAGCGTGTCGCAGCGTGCTGTATCGCACAAGACATAGGCGCGAAACTGCACGATTAGCTATCAGGATGAACTGAGAGAATTACTGTAGAACCTGGATCGTTGATTCATCCTTACTCGCATGGCCTCGAATTACTCGAGTGGCCACCAAATTTGGTGATAATTACTCGAGTGGCCACGCCAGGGGATTCCCGCTGGCTTTTTTTTCCCGGCGCATTACCCTACAAGGGCTCGTATCCCCGAAACCGCTGTATTGATAATTCCGCGATTTTCAATTTACGCGATGATTTAAAATGGATGCTTTCGCGTGATGATATATATTCGAAATTTATGTTCGTGACTCTATATGACCGCGCCTGATTAAACGTGCATATAGTCGACCAATCATGCGAGGTCATTAATGGTCCGGCACATCATATATTAATGCCCGATCATATATTTCCGCGATCATAAACTACAATGCCGGGGTGTCAATGCGCGGGACATTTAATGACCGCGCATGATTGGTCGATTATATGCGTGGTGCTTTGTTTTGCAATGCGCGTCCAATCAGGCGCGGTCATATGGGGTCACGATCATAAATTTCGGATATTGAAGATCGCGCATTAATCAGTACAGAGGTTTCAGGGTTACAAACCCTGGTAGGGTAACGTTCCGGGTAAAAAAAACCAGCAAGAATCCCCTGCCGTTGCCACTCGAGTAATTATCACCAAATTTGGTGGCCACTCGAGTAATTCAAGACCACGCGAGTAAAAACGAACCACCAATCCAGGCTCTACAGTAATTCTCTCAGGATGAACTACTTGGAGACTATGTCAGGTGAGGTGGCAGGTTGACCGTGTGGTGCGTGTGGGCCAAATCATTGCCATTACGTTGGCCTGATTCTGTGTTGGTCTGACAGAATCAAATGTGATTGAGCGCGGTTGGAACTTGGAAACGCAAGCCACTCACAGCGGGCTTTTCCAGAAACGACGGCAAACATTCGCAGTCGTGCTGTCTCGTTGACGAATGATAAGGCGTGCGAACCTGGTTACTCGACAGCTGTGTCCATGTGTGAAGGGACCAGGTTTGATTCGGTCAAGCTGGCTCAGTTGTTCAAACTGCGGTGTCTCGATTGCGTATCAACATACGAACGGCTTAGCATTTATCTCTTATTCAACAGCATTCATAGCGGAGCATTCAGTAGAGGAGTAATTGCTCCGACGGATTTTTCAAGGGACATTCTGTTTTGCTTCTCAGCGCCCCCGCGCTCAATCGTCACATACCACCGCATCATCCGCTCCGCACATTCCAGCTCCGTTTTTCTGGTTAATCGCAGCCGTTCCTGTTCTCAATTAACTTAGTCCGTGAACACTTTACAGGCCACTCTTGCTTCTTCCCGACTTGCTCAGATGGAAGTAGCCCGAACAACCACCGACCGCCATCTCTCGATTCGGCATCCTCGAGGCGCCATTGAGGCGCCTCAAAGCCTCATAGCCTCGACAATTGGGAATATGGCGAGCCCGATTGGTGTTCCCTTCTTTCCCTTTGGATTGAATTCCCGTCTTTATGGTGTCTCCAAGAGCTTCGGCATTGGGCGTTCCGATTGGATGGCTCGTTCTTGCCCTCTCCCAGTGGAAGCACGAAGCTTATCATTGCCAGATGCTCATCGGCGCATCCTGACGGCTGGCTCCTGCTCGACGAACCACGTGTACGCATGTGACGGATCCGATGGACTCATTGCACCGTGCTAAACCGACCCTCGCCCCGACATAGTACCAGCAGCTGCGGGGTCCGTCCGACCCTTCATCTCTGTGCGTCCAACTTACTCCAAATTCCAACAGCATCGACCAAGCACTCTTTCGTCATTCAAGAATCAATCCCTCCCCGGCATTCAACACGCAGTATTTCCTCTCCACCATTGCTCAACCACTTCCTCCTGCGCTTCTATCCTTCGCCTCCCACTCTCTGCATCCCGGGCTCTCCCTTTCCTCTCCTGGTGCACCCCAAAAGCTTCTCTTTGACTTGTGGGGTGCCCCTCATAACCGGTGCTCTGGACAAGCTGCAGCCATTCTTGAGGTGCCTCAGAAGCCAGAGTCAGTGCCCGTACTGAGCCATTCTGACCCAGCTGGGTAACTAGTAAAGAACGCCTACTATGGAAGGCTCCTTCTTTCCTATTTTACACTCACGAGGAGGCTACTATCGGGCTCAGAGGCTCTTATCCCGGCAACACCGCCCTTTGATCCAGCAGCAGAGGAAGCTAATGCAAGAAGATGGAGCGTTTCACGTGCCATGCGCCGCTGTGCTGTGCGTCATGCTTGCCGTTACCACTGCTGCTGCAGAGCCAGCCCACGGATACAGTGCAGCAGTGGGATCACAGGAGCACAGTGCAATGGCTGCCGCACACGAGGGTGGATACTGGCACAGCATGGGCATGGCTTCACGGTTTCGCCTCGTGGAAGATATTCCCACATCCTCCACTTCTGCGACTGCTGCTGCTGCTTCGACCACACCTTCTGCATCCCCTTCTCGCCCATCCTCCTCCCTCCCCGCCCCTGCCTCCCGACGATCTACCTCCTCCTCCTCCTCCTCCTCTCCCTCCTCCTCCCGACCCTCCTCCTCCTCCTCTTCATCCACTCGCGCCTCCTCCTCCTCCTCTGCCGCTTCCCGGTCTACCACATCGAATCCATCAGCTACGTCAGCCTTAGATTCTGCACCTGCAGAACCCACTGATCCCCCTTCCCCCAAGCTCCCCCCTTCCCCCAGAGGTCCCACTTCAACATCCGCCCCCCCTCCTTCAACCCCCGAACCTGCCTTTTCCTCGCTCGCTCCCTCCCCTTCTGCCTCCGAGCCAGCCCTCCCTCCGCTTATATCTGAACCCATCGCATCCCCCCCTCTCTCCCTCCCACCCTCCCCTCCTCCCCGCTCTTCCCCTCGCCCCCGTCGCCGCCGCCAGCCCCCTCCCCCACCTCCCCTCGAAGCCCCAACCCCTGCGCCCGCCCCTTCCCCCGAGCTCCCCCTTGCCCCTGCCCCTGCCCCCGAATCCCTCCTCTCCCCCTTCCCCGCCCCTGCCCCTTCCCCAGCCTCCACCCCAGCACCCGCCCCTTCCCCCTCCCCCTCCCCCGCCCCCCGCCCCCGCCCCCGCCCCCGCCCCCGCCCCTCTCGGCCAATCACTTCTCACCAGCTCAGCGAAATGCCCCGGGATAATCATAGACTATCGCATTCTCTCTCTCACGCCCATCCCCTTTGCCGGAGCGCCTGCGTTCCGCTTCACCTCCAAGGTTGCCCTCTCTAATGTGGGCCCCAGGCCGCTCAGGAAATGGGCGCTGTCGTTTGGGTATGTGAATCAGGAGGCGATTGGAGAGGTGGACGGGGCGGTTGTTCCTGCGGGCGTGCAGCTGCCAGTAGCAGGTGAGCTCATAACGAGTACATGCATACACATGCGAATGAATGCTAGACCTGTTGCATATCCTTGCGAATGAGTCCACCTGTATTTTTCCTGTTTGGTGCCTCTCTAATCTCATGTTTTCCTACCCTAATGCCCAATCTGGACTGGTCTCATCTCGGTTCAGAAACGTTTGTCTTCTTCGCCATGCATTCCCTCTCTCTCTTGCATATCCTTCTGCGCACCTCAACCTCCCTCTTCTCGTTCCGTGTTTGCTCGCTTTTGCTTGGTTCTGGTTGCTTCCTCCAGGCAACGGTCTCGAGCTCTCCAGTCCACCAGGGGCCGCATTCCTGCTCACGGCCGTCCAATCAGGTGGCCAGAAGCGGCGCTTCCAGCACGTGATACAGCTGGCGGGCACAGAGGTCGCTGCCACGTCAGCAGCTGCTGCACTCCCCAGGACCATCTCCCTTGATGCCACTGGGTTTACCTGTAGCGACACACCCATGGTTTCAGGTAGTGAGGTTTGGGATTAGCAGGATTCGTTTGCATTGTTCAAGAGCAGCTACTTCCCAGGACCATCTCTCTCTGCACACTACCGAGTCTACTTGCAGCGCCAAACCCCCATGCTCCTAGATGGAGAAGGTTAATAAGTTTTCCTGCAATACCCCCGCAAATTTCCGGCCTCTCCTCTGGTCGCTTTCCTCCTCCTCCTCCTCTGGTTTTTGAGAATTCTCAAGAGTCCCCCTCTCGTTTCCCACTTTTCCCTTCTTCCTCCCTTGCTTATCCCCACAGGTCGCAATGACACGCTCCGAGTGTGCTGCCCCTCTACCGGCCCTTCTCAGGAGACGCAAGGTGTGTGTGTGTGTGTGTGTGTGTGTGTGTGTGTGTGTGTGTGTGTGTGTGTGTGTGTGTGTCCTTCGTCCCTTGCTCCCCCTTCTCATGTTCCCTCTTCCCATGTTCCTTCTCCAGTCCGTTCTACCAGTATGATTCTGCTTCATACTAAGCTTCTGCTGGTTTGTTACCACGTCCTTGGAATGAAATGCTTCTCCCATCGGCACGTGATACAGCTGGCAGCTGGAATGAAATGCTTCTCCCATCCTCCTCCCTCGATCCTTTCGCTCTCCTCCCACTTCCGCCCTTCTCAAACCATTTGCACCACTTACGCTACATATCACTTCTCTCCTTACCCTCTCTCTCCTTCTCCCTTACCCTTTTCTCCCTCTCAACCCAGTGGCACCACTGCCGCTACCAACGCTACCCATATCCAGCCAGGGGCTGCAGATCCAGTGGGACGTGCTGAGCGCCAATGCGTCTCAGTACACGGTGGCGGTGCGAGTGAGCAACACGCAGCGCTACACGGCAGTCAGCAGCAACCCTGGGTGGTCCTTGCAGTGGGCGTGGCAGATGGGCGAGTGAGTGGGGCTCAGTCAGAGGTAGTGAGTGGGGTTCAGAGTTCAAGAATTGGATTCAGAGTTTCTGGCTTAAGTTTGGTCATCGCATACTGTTGACATGCTCCTGAGTGCGTTCATAGATCCTGCCATTCACGTTGCTTCTTCTCTGTGTGATTGTTCAGCTCAAACACTTGTGCTTCTTCTCATCATCCCCTTTACTTCTCTCCTCACTTTGGCCAGAATGATCCTGGAGTGCGATGGGTGCCAGACACTAAGGCAAGGAGGTAAGCCTCTGTTACAGACGAGATTAGTAACACAATATAAGGTGAGATGAGAGTGAACAGAACAACAAGGTCGTAGGAGACTGGGAACAGGTGATGAGGCGTAGGAGACTGGGAACAGGTGATGAGGCGTAGGAGACTGGGAACAGGTGATGAGGCGTAGGAGACTGGGAACAGGTGATGAGGCGTAGGAGACTGGGAACAGGTGATGAGGCGTAGGAGACTGGGAACAGGTGATGAGGCGTAGGAGACTGGGAACAGGTGATGAGGCGTAGGAGACTGGGAACAGGTGATGAGGCGTAGGAGGCTGTGAAGAGGGTAACGCACTGCCATACTGCCGCACGCTGTTGACGCGCCTCAAGAATGCTCCCCATGTCTGGTGAACGCTTACGCATTTCTTCTTTTCCTCTTACCTTTCCCAGGCTGCACCTCATGCCCTGCATGCCTTTTAACCCCTTTTGAAACGCCTCAACATTCCCCCATGTATACTGATTCTCTTTTCCCAGACTGCACCTCATGCCCGGCGTGCATTGACAACCCATCCATCACCAACCCCTACTCCTGCGATCCTATCCCAACCATTGTGGATGGCTCCCCGTAAGCTCCTCTCTCCCTCCATCGCGTTTGCCACTCACATGTGTTATTGAGACGAAAACGAAACCATCTCCTAGGTTACATGCCTCTACGGTGTGTACGTGCTGTGTAGCTCTTCCCTGCGGCCAGCCATGTTTCACTCGAGTCACTTCTTGCTCCGGTTCTCCTCCTTCCTTCCTTCCTTCTTTACCCCTTTCCCTTCCCTTCTTCACCCGCTTCCGCTTCCCCCCTTCTTCCCTTCTTTCTCCACTTCCTTTCCCTTCTCCCCGTCATCTGTTTCCCCAACCCCCGCCACCCCAGCCTGAACGGATCACTGTCCGCAGCAGCGTATGACAACTCCGCCTCCACGACTTTCACCATGCTTCTGGTGAGCATGTCATCGCGACACTCGCCCCACATCCTTATGTTAGTGCCTCGTCCTGTCGTTCCTGTTGCATCCCACTGCTAATATTGCACCCAATCTCTTCTGCGATTCCTCCTTCCATAATCTCCACCCTGGGACCCTTCACTTCTCACCTTCCTACCACCTGGGCGTTGATCCAGTCGCAGGGATCGCATGCGACCCTGAAGCCTCTGCGTTACCTTGGTCCTCTGGTTTTCTCTCCCCCAACTCCTTTTCCAAACCCCACCCCAGGCCAAGGCGCAGCAGTACTGGGACCCCTCGCTGCTCACCTTCCCTGCCAACTTCACAGCGCAAGTGTCGAACCAGTCACAGGGATTCGCTTGTGACCCCCCTGCTGCGCTCTCCCCTGCGGCGCTTGAGACTGTGGTGGGCGGCAGACAAACCATGAATGCCAAAGGTGGGCGGCCGATGGTAAACTTATCAGTCGCAGGGATTTGCGTGCGATCCCCCCGCTGCTCTCTCCCCTGCAGCGCTTGAGAACCGTGGTGGGTGGCAGACAGACCATGAATGCTAAAGGTGGGCGAAAGGCAGACAGTGGAAACTAGCAAAGAGCGGATGAGGGACTGTGAGGATTTACTGTGAGGACTTTACTGTGAGGACTTTACTGTGAGGACTTTACTGTGAGGACTTTACTGTGAGGACTTTACTGTGAGGACTTTACTGTGAGGACTTTACTGTGAGGACTTTACTGTGAGGACTTTACTGTGAGGACTTTACTGTGAGGACTTTACTTGATAGATTTACTAACAGAGAGCGGCTGGACTTGTAATTCTTTGTCAGCTTCCAGTACTCTTCTATCTCGCATACAACTCTCACTCGAGTTACTCCCCTTGACTTTGCTTTTCCCTGATTTAGATCACTTAACCTGTGCATCACCGCCCTCTGTCCCCATGCCTGCTTTCCCCTACCTCAGCCTCTTACGTGGTGACATGTGGCACAGTGGCGGGAAACGGGCCTCTTCCAACCTGCTCCGTGTCAGCATCTGGTAACACAAATCCTTTAGTAACCTTGACACAAAACGGCTTGTTAAGGAGGTTAAACACATCTCGACAACCTGCTTTGTGTCAGCATCTGGTAACTTCCTCAGTAACATCGGCACGAAACAGCGTGCGAATCCCCTTCCCACTCCCACCAACATTTCTCACCTCCACTTCTTTCCCTGCACTTCCTGCAACCATGCCCACCCCTCCATCTTCTCATCTTGCTTCATCGCATTTTTGTCCCCCATGTTTCCACCCAATTCCCCCCCACACGCCTCCGTTACTTCAACCCTTTTCCCCCCCAATTTCTTCCAGCCTTCTTCAACACCTCGCTCGCCCCCAGCCCCTCCTGCGCCTGCGGCTGCTCTTCCTCCAACACCAGCCAGGGCGGCGGCCAATGCGACGCCGCCACGTCTACGAGTGCGGACCCCGCTGCAACCGTGCTATTGGGCGAGGACCTGGCAGGGCTGGTGGTGCCGGGGCAGAGCGAGGGGGTGAGTGGACGAGAAAATAGGCCTAAAAAATGGGATGATGGTATGAGGTAAGAGAAGGGAGGAGAGGAGTCAGGACCTGGCAGGGCTGGTGGTGCCCGGGCAGAGCGAGGGGGTGAGTGGATGGGGTGCGAGTTTGATGGAAAACTAGCATGATGGGATGAGGCAGTGGACAATGGAAGAGAGGAATGAGGACCTGGGGGGACTGGTGATGTCGGTGCAGCGCGAGGTGGTGAGTTTGAGGTCCTTGTACTTGCTGCGGTGTTTTAGCACGTATGCCTGCATTCTTGACCCCTCACTCCCTCGCCTCCTCCCATCTCTGCTGTCTTTTCTCTCATTGCTCATCTCTACTCCCTCCACCCTCCTCCCTCCTTCCAATCCAACTTCCTCCCTCCTCGCCTCTCCCTCCCACTGTCGCTCCTACTCTCTCCCACCGGAGCTGTGGCACCGGCTGTGCCTTTTAAAGCGCCTTAAAAGTCCTAACTCAACCCTTTACCCTCCACCTGCTTCCCTCCTTCCTCCCTCCACCCATCGCCCCTGCTCTCCCCCACCAGAGCTGTGGCACTGGCTGTGGTATTCAGGCACACGTGACTGTATCAGATGCGGACGAAACAGGCTGGACCATGCGCGTGGCGCTCTGGAACAGTGCACAGCCCACGATCAAGAACTGGACGGCAGTCTTGGCGTTTCCCCAGGGCTTTGCAGAAAACCTCCAGGAAGCTTCCTCAGTGGTGGCTCAATTCGACTCCCCACCATACGGTATGGCTGGATATCAAATGCTTCTAGATTGGTATAAGATACATCTGATGCTGACACATATACGACACATCAGGTGTGCACCGCAGCAAGTCTGCTCAACTTCCCCACCACTTCGTCCTCCTTGCCCTCAGATTCAACCATCTTTTCAAATTTCTCCTCCCTTCCCCACCTGTTCCCCTTACCTCCCCTCCCTCCCCAGGTGACAACCTAATGATATCAGGAGAGCCCAGTGTGAACCAGTGGCTGCTAGGAGACGGAGGCAACGTGCAGTGGACTCTCCGCTTCAACCGAACACCCAACACAGCCGGGTTCAACGCCACGGGCGGGGACACTGTTGCCATCAGCTCTTCTGTCTTCCCATTGGCTGTGCTTGTGGGCGGCCAACAGTGCCAGATGCCGGCCTTTTTGCCGACCGCTAAGGCTGCAGGGACAGGTGGGAGCAGGGGTGGGGCTGTATGGTGGAGCGTGGCAGTGGCAGTGGCAGTGGCTGTGTGGGCACTGCTGTGCTGATATGCACATTATCTTGTCTTTACAGATGTTACGGTTTCTGTTTGTGTAGCCTTGGGGGTTTTCTAGTGCTTTTGGACTCACTGAGTGCTAAACTTTGCGGGCAAGTGTGCAATCAAGACCTACTGAGTGCTAAGCCACCACCGGGTTTAACCTGCTTCGTTACAAGGTACACACCCGGCCAAATACACACACCAGTTGACGCATCAGGACACAGAGGTAGCATAAATTGCCATAAAATTCCCAAGGCACGAACATTTCAACGAGAAAAGCACACCGATTCCAGCCAACCACTTTAGGGGTACCCTTGACAGGGCGGCAGCAGCAACCACCCTTGACAGTGCGTGTCATGATGACTCATAATCCATGATGGCAGCAGCAGGAAACGCACTCAATTGCTCTTTCGCAAGAGGTGCTGGCCCTGCAGCTGCAGCAGCTACAAAACACTCATTCCTCTCACCACATGCTACCCCTCTCGGCGTCAAGTGCATGGTTGTATGGGAGATGAGCAGGAGATAAGATGCTACTTCAGCAGCAGTGGCGGCGGCAGCAGCAGCAAAGACCGTTCGTGGCTCCTCTTAGCCACAAGCTCCTGGTCCTGCAGGCGTTGCAGCAGCTGTGACACCCTCCTCTCACCGGTGCGACACACATGCCATCAAACTGATAACCCCTGCCTTAACTCCTCTTGGACATTAGGTCCTGGTCCTGCAGGTGCTGCAGAAGCTGAGACGCCTTCCGCTTAGCCCTGGGCGTGCCACTCCTCAGCAGCAGCTGCAGCGGCGGCACAGCACCGCACTGCACCGCAAGCTCCGTGTGCTCCCTGCCGTTCAAACACAGCGAGAGCAGCACCGAAGCCGCATTCTCCTTGTTCCTCGGAGACCCATCTTTCATAAGCTCCACTAAAATAGGCACTGCAGTCGCCTCTCCTATCGCCGTCCGCCCCTCTGGGGACGTCGAAAGGACGGCCAGGATCGCAAGAGCCTCGTCCATCATGCCCGATCGACGATGCACGAGCAGATCCACAAGAGGCGCAACCACCCCGGCACGCACAGCCCTTGCCTTATTCCCCTGGTAGATCGACAGGTTGAAGATTGCAGTAGCCGCATCTTTCTTTCCCCGAGTTGACCCATGCTGAAGCAGGTCCACCAGGGCCGGTATCGCTCCCGCCTGCCCGATCGAAATCTTGTTTTCATCCATGACTGAGAGCGAGAACAGCGCCGCTGCCGCGTTTTCTCGAGCCTCCATGCTGCCTCCTTTCTCCAGAACCCGAACTATAGCCGGGATGGCTCCAGCTGAGACAATCAGGCTCTTGTTCGGGTCGTTGATTGACAAGTTTAGTAACCCGGTAACCGTATGCTCCTGCATTTTGGCATCAGCTGGGAGAGGGTCAGTGAGTAATTCGACCAGGAGGGGAATGATGCCTCCTTCGGCCATTGCAACCCGGTTCTCCACACTTCGTTTCGCCAGCAGCCTTACGTCAACCGCAGCACCCTTTCGAACCTCCAGATCCGGCGAGCGAAGCCGGTCCCGAAGCTGCATCACCTGATGTCGATCCGAGAGCGAAATCTCCGCCGAGCCTCCGTCCCCGGTCCCACCTGCTCCCCCACCGGACCCACCACCCCCACCGCTCCCACCCGCACTTCTACCCCCGCTGCTGCTACCACCACCACTGCTGCTGCTGCTGCTACCATGCTTGCTGCTGTGATGGCGGTGCCTGTGGCCTGACTTGTGCGTTCTCTTGGGTAGTTCAACATTGTTGGCTTCGCACCATTGCTGGATGAGGCTTCGCAGGGAGAAGTTGGGGATGAGCGAGGCGGGCTGGGATAGGATCTGCTGCGTCTTGGGGCACGTCTTGTGACCCTCCTTGAGCCACTGCTCTATGTACGCTCGATCGTACGTCTGTTGGGGGAAAGGGGGGGTGGGGGAGGTGGCGGAAGAGGTTGGGGGGGTTGGTGGTGTTGGAGTGTGCCTCAAAAGTCGTGTTGGGTGCCGTCTTGTGACCCTCCTTGAGCCACTGCTCTATGCACGCTCGATCGTACGTCTGGCGGGGGAAGGGGAGGTGGGGGAGGTGGGGGAAGGGGTTGGGGGGGTTGGCGGTGTTTGAATGTGCCTCAGAAGTCGTGCTGGGGCACGTCTTGTGACCCTCCTTCAGCCACTGCTGGTCTGGAGGAGTAGAGAGTTGTCAAGAAGGAAAGGAGTTTGGTGTCTGGGGAGGGATTATAGGATGGGAAGGGGGGAGGCAGGGAGAAAACGGGGATGTGAGAAAGAGGCATTAGGATGAAGACAAGAAAGTTACACTAAGAGGAATCCATAATATCTATCTCTAACACGCACTGACCTGGCCTGTAGAGACGATCACCGGATCCCTCATAATCTCCAGCGAGATAGGACAACGGAAGTCATCCGGAGGCACCACCAGCCGCCCGGACTTCGACCGCAGCGCCGACCCAGTGCCCACGCCGATGCCGCCCCTATCCACCCCATCCTCCGGATTCCCCTCCTCCCCTCCCGACCCATCCCCACTCCCCGACTTCCTCATTCCACCGCTCCCCTCCTCCCTGTCCTCCATCCCTCCGCTTAGACTCACTTTAAGCCGCTCCAGTAACAGTATAATCTTCTCAACCTCCCTTAGCTTCTCATTCCTTCTACTCTCCAACGTAACCCTCCGCTCTGCATCCGCTCTTGAACACACGCTGCCATCCCCCGACCTCCCATCCCCCCCTCTAGAAGAAACTGCACTTTTGGGTGAAAACAGAGACTTGGAAGAAACAGAAGGGCCCTCCTCTTTCCCTTCCCCTCGCCCCCCACTAGACCCTCCCTCCTCCTCTCCTGAAAAACTCATCTCTGCCCCCTTCCTGAGCTCCTCATTTAGTCGCAGCCTCAGCCGTTCCATTGCAGATTCCCCACCCCCACCCCCTTTGCCGCTTGCCACTGCTGCATCCGTCTCCTCTATAAGCTGATCCCGCGCTCGTTTTAGCGAGGCTATCTCCTCGAGAACAGCAGGCAGGGAGATCAGCCCTAGCTTGCCCAAAACCGGGTCTAGTAACCCTGCTTCCACGGAACTTAGCGAGGGTAATGACGGAAACCGCCCAGCTGCCCCCCCTGCTCCTCCTGCTGCAGACCCTCCCGCCCCTGCCCCTTCCTCTCCTGTCACACCAGACGGTAACACTGTGATCGTAACACCAGCAGCAGAAGCAGCAACCTTGTCAATCTCCGCACGTGTATGAGGGAAGGAGGGGAAGGCGGAGAGAACGGCTGGGGAGGGAGGAGGAGCAGAGGGGTGCGGCGACTGCGGCACTGCTGACAGGTCAATCATCGGTCCTGAGCCGTCAACTTCCCCCTGGGAAGCAGCTGCAGAGGCAGAGACAGCGGCAGAGGCGCCGGGTGCAGCAGTAGCAGCAGCAGCAGCAGCAACAGCAGCAGCGGCGGGGCCGGGGTGACGGGCGGAGCTGTTGAGGGGAGGGCCGCCCAGGCGCGGGTCAGAGAGGATGTGGCGCACGTCCGCATATAGCTGCTCTTCCTGCGCGTCGTCCAATGCTCGGCTGCGCTTCAACTGCACTTGCACGAGTTGCGTCTGAGGAAGGGAGAAGACGGGAGAATGGGGGGAGAGAGGAAGAGAGAGATGTGGTGTACGTCACGTGGGCGTACAGCTGCTCCTCCTGTGCATCGTCCAACGCGCGGCTGTGCTTCAGTTGAACCTGCACCAGCTGGGTCTAGTAAGGTGGAAAGGGGGAAGGGAGTGAAAAGAGAGGGGAGTCGAGGGGCGAGGGGAAGGGACTGCGCCCAACACCCCCCATGCGCCCACCCGACATCCCCCCTAATGCGCCCGGCCCCCCATCCGAAATGGCCATCACGTTCACCCAAGCGCCTCAGTATCCTTCCCTCCCCCCGCCCCCCCCTCCTCCCCCCCGCACATGGCCCCTCTCCCCGCCTCCTCATCCCCCTTCCGCGCACCTGCTCCTGGATTTCTTCCGAGATCGCCATCACGTTCATCGGAAGGTCCGCCAGCGCGCCGCTCAGCTCCAGGTTCACCGCGCGCATGCGCTCCGCCATCGCCTCGCGCTCCATCACCTGCGCGCGCGGAGACGGGGGGAAATGCCGGGGAAGGGGGCATGGGCGGGGGGAAGATGGCGGGGAGGGGGGGGGAGGAGAGAGGGGGAAAGGGCGCGGGAGGGGACACGAAGGGGGAAGCCTTGCTCAGTATAATGTTGAGCGCGCGCATCCGCTCCGCCATTGCCCCACGGCTCATCGTTTGCGCAACGCGTACAGCGCCGGGGAAGCAATGCGGAGAGGTGAGGCGCGAGGGGTGACGGAAACGGTGATAATGGAAGAAATTTCACACGCGAAACATCAGAGAGGCGCGAGGCGTAGGGGCGAGTGAAATGCGGGAGAGCGGGGTGAGCGGGGAGCGCGGGGAGGGCGGGAGCGCGGGGAGGGCGGGAGCGCGGGGAGGGAGGAGATGATGTGGCGGGAAAGCGAGGACGCAGGAAGATGATGCGATGCGAGGAGCAAGGTGCAACGTTACAACCCTGATTGTCAAGATGAGTAAGGTAAGAAGAGGGGTGGAAGGAAAGCGAGGGGTAACGATCGATAAGGTCGACTGACCATATAGATGGATTAGGGAAAGAAGGGCGGTAGGGAGAAGGGAGGTAAGGCGCACTGACCATCCAGATGCGGCTTCCGCTGCTGCAGTCCACGAGAATGGTCTTGGCGGCGCTAAGCGCGGCCCGCATGCTCTGAAACGCCACCACCGCCGCCGGCGGGAGCGGGCTCTTGACGTCTCTAATCTCCTCGAAGAGCGGCGCGAGCAGCTTGATCCGACGGATGAGAATCTGACACGAGCGCTTGTGGCTGCGCAGGCGATCGCCGAGCGCGGAGATCTCGTTGATGATGGCGAGTAAGGAGCCCACTAATGCCATCGATGATGACGTGGCCATCCGCGTCGACGACATGGTGACTGATTGCAGGATTATTCGGGCACAAATGCTAATGTAGTTGGCTCGAATCTTCTTGTTTCGTTGGCTTAGATGCTTCTGGGGCTGGCTCCGAAGGGGAAACTAAATATCGGGACAGGAACTGACGTGCAGATAAAAAAGGGCCAACCTAGTGTACGGTTGGCTGATAAATTGAGCACATATTCATGAGCAGCGATAGACTGTTCGTGCATCAAGCGAAGGAGGCGGACACACCAGCAGCTTCAGCCGGCTGTTGAGGTGAAGCCATAAATGTGGAAAGCTGGCTTTTGTTCGTAACCGTGCTTGAATCGAAACAGGAAGTCTTGGAAACTCGGCGAGTACGAACCACTTGCTGCGATGCAGAAACGGAGCTCCTAATGGATTTGCCATTGCGAGTTACCACATTATTTCGAAAAAAAATCATCGTAGACGCGCCGATGAGGCATTGAGAAGATTGCGAAAGCTGGGCGAACCTGTCATGGTATTGGGTTTCGTGAGCTCGTGAAAGTGGATGCAGGGCAACTCGGCAACCTTCGTACCTGCTACAGTGATGCTTCATTCAGATAAGACAACTCAGCTTCGGGATGATGTGAGATTGTCAGACAAGCCACTGTCAGGCTCTGACGCCGAGTCAACGCGCAAATTTTCGCGATGCTGCGAGCCGAGCTGCCGCCTTTTTGGTTTCATGGATGCCAAAGACCCTTGTGGGGTGCTTGAGCTGGAGCTTGCTCGCATCGACGGCCGAGAATTTCGTTTATGAAAGTGATTGACCCGATCGGAGGGTGAGTATCAGCTAATTTCATCAGCTCATACTCCATAACATTCAACTCAGTACTGAGGTTGTATTCACTACACCCTATGGGGAAACACCTTTGAGCCCAGCAAATGTACTGTGTGTTTCTTCCTCCCCTTCTGGCGTATCTGCCGGCATGCAGCATCTCCCTCCGTTTTCTCATCCCGCCAAGACTCGGCACCTAACGGGTTTCTCTTCAACATGACGAATCGGTATAATCCGTAAAGGTGGAAAACTGGAATGACACTCACAGCGTAGGCTTTGTTTTCAAGAATCGTATGTCATTAGGTAAGCAATTCGCGTGTCTACTTTTATGTAGCTAATTGCTCGCCTCATGGGCAGGGAAGCCCCAGGAGCTCAACCCAGCGGCGCCGGCTTTCCCGGCGCATCGTCCGGAAGCAGGCTTCCAAAGAAGGAAGAACCGCAACGCGACGACGAAACTAGCGACGAGAACAACGACGAGGGAGACGACGACGAGGAAGAGTGGACTCACGAGGACGACAAGGGACGCGAGATGCAATTCTCGCGGATTCTCGAGGGCGTAGTGTTTGCGATTAGCGGAGTGGCGAATCCGGAGCGCGCCGAGCTGCGCGGGAAGGCGATGGAGATGGGCGCGCGGTACCGGCCGGACTGGACGCCGGATTGCACCCTGCTCGTCGCCGCGTTTCCCGGCACGCCGAAAGTCAGATCCGTGACTGCCGATGACGGCACGATTGTTTATAAGGTTCGCGCGTTTGAGCGAGGGGTAGCTTGGGAGTCGAGAGGGTAGCGTATGAGTCGCTTTTGAGATTCTCAAACGAGACGATGGACAGCTGTTGGCGGACTGAGCATTCCGTGCGCCCATCTTTCCTTTCATTCCACCTCCAACGCTGATACCCTCGTATCTCTCGCTCCCCCTCTCCCTCTCTGTCCATGCCCGTGCCTGTCCACACGTGTGTGACTAAAGAGGTGGGTGGAGCAGTGCTACAGTAATCGCCGCCTTATGAGCATCTCCCCCCACCTCTTGCATCTCGGGCGGCCGTGGCGCCAAGGCGGGCCGGCAGACAGAGACGTGGAGGACGGCGGCGGGCGGCGCAGACGAATCGTGCCGGCCAGAGATCCGGGGCAAAGGGGGAGGGATGGGGGGAGGGGGCGGGGAGGGCGAGGGGACACGGGGAGAGCTGGGGGGAGGGGAGACGGGCAGGGGGGTGACAGGTTGGGAGGTCATGATACGGGAATGGGGCGTGGGGGAACGCAACAAGAAAGAGAAGGAGCAGGGGGGGGAACAGGGGGACAGGCGGAGGCGGGGGTGGGGGAGGGGGAGGAGGAGGAAGAAAAGAAGCCCAAAAGGCGGAGGCTGCTCATTCCCCCACTGACTGGGGGCGGAGACATGGGGGGAGGGAACGGGGGGAAGCTATCGGGGGAGGAGCTAGTGGCGCAGTGGGTGGCGGGGGACATGGTTCACGTGAGGGCGTTTTTAGAGGAGCAGGAGGAGCAGCCTCCCGAGGGGGAGGTGGATAGAGTGGCGAGAGAAGGCATGCTGGCGTGCTTTGATGACGCCATTGCTGGCGTGGAGAAAGGGCAGGTGAGATTTCTCTCATGCGTTTTTCTCTCCTGTGCTTTCAGCAGGTATTGCCTCGAGGCTCGTCATGCCGCGTAATGCTCACTCACTTCCCACACTGCTACTTTCCCCACATCCACACAAGTCTCCTACAGCCCGCCTCACCTCCTTCTCCCTCTTGTATCTCCCCCCCCCCCCCATCCCATTCCAGGCGCTCGCAGCATCGATTGCCTCGTGGCCTGTCGTGCCACGCGTGCTGGACCCCCAAACCTCTGTCTCCGCCCCTCCGCACCTCCTCCCCTCCTCGCTTCCACCGCTGCCGATCTCCCTGGGGTGTGGGGGGGCGGGGGGAGGGGAGTGCCTGCGGGTGCTAAGGCAGTGGAGGGGGATGTATGAGCGGGAGCTGGGGAGAATGGGGGAGAGGGGGAAGGGGGAGGGGGGAGAAGGGAGTGGGGGAAGTATAGGGGGAGGGGGAGGGATCTCGGTTGGTGGGGCAGTGGGAGGAGAGAGGGGCGAGGGAAGTGGAGGGGCAAGAGATGGGGATGAAATGGCAGGAGGGACTGGTAGGGAAGGGGATGGGCGTGTTGGTAATGGTGGTGTTGGCGACACTACGGTTGGAAATGATGGTGCTGCTGCGGGTGGCAATGTGGGCAGTGGGAGCAGAATTGGTGCTGCTGGCCCCGCACCAGGAGAGGGAGAGAGGAATCTAGACAAGGGAGATGGTCGTAGTGGTAACCCTATCGATGACTACGAAACTGACAGCTGCTGAGAGTGGGGAGCGGGTGCGGGTGCGACAAACTGAGAGTAACGGGAGAAATTGAGAGGAAGGGAGATGGTCGCAGCGGTAACCCTATCGATGATTACAACACTGACAGCTGCTCTGAAGGGGGAGCGGGGAGGGTGTTGCAAAGTGAGGGTGACAGCTGTTTGCAGTTCAGGCTGATTATTGGAACGGGGACTAGTGTCTGATGTGAATATTTTCTAATACAGTAATGTACAGCTGTGAGCTCTGTGAACTATATTTTATTGCAAATTCGGATTCCTTTGTACACAAAAGTGTTTCAAAAACAGTATTACCTCTTCCCGTCAATTCACCTTCATTATCGCACTTCACATTCTTGTGACGAAGAATGATGTATCGAAGAGCAGTGCGTAGTAGCAATTAGGGCGGGTCCAGCGCGGACGTTTACAGGTCCCATACAGTTCATTCGTAGTGGTTCGAAAAGATATCAGGTGGTGCACAACGGTTTCAAAACTGCACCGTTTTGAACCGTGACGCAATACAGATTATCGCACTGGATGAACTGTAATGTACGGAAAACGTACGTGCTGGACCCGCCCTTAGTAGCATATGTGCCACACTGAAGTAGAAGCTGCCGCGATGCGGTATGGCACGATCCGAACTCGTCCGAGCTTTTTGAATTGGTTTAGTTCGTCGCCTTAATCTCCTCTGACATGGCCCCTTGCCGCGCTCGCCAGTGTAAAGCAGTTCCGGAGTCTTTCTGACACGTCGCAGAACTCGTCGTTCAGGAGTTACAGCGTGAACAAACTTCGCGTGGCTGTCTGCCATGTGTCACTTAAGACCTTTCCGTTTTCCCCATGAACGATTGTGAGCATTCATCGACGCTGTCAGTCTGAGGAGTTCAATTTAGCGGGTTTCACGCGGCTATCGCTCCTTCTGCCGCCATGGCTACTGCGCGCCAGTATTTCCCGCCGCAGTCGCAGCGCCAGCCGCAGTTCTGGCGGCCGGGAGCGGCGCGTCCGGGCGAGTCGCTCGCGTCTCGGGCGTCGCTAGCGGTGGACGCGGACGGCGCGGATGCTGACGTGTCAATAGCCTCGCTGGCAAGGTGCGACAGTCACCCCGCTCGTAGCCCCTTCCTTCTCGCCGTACTTTGTTCCGTTAGCGCGGGTAGGTCGTGAAAGGCTTGCAGCGCTCTAGTTCCAGAGTGTGGGAGGGTATCAGTCTCTCTGATTCATTCTCCTAAGGCGCCTTGATAGGAGGGGATCGTCTCTCTGATTGATTCTTGATTCTCTTTAGGCGCCTTGATAGGAGGGGATCGTCTCTCTGCTGGAGGTTGTCACTGCCAGTGTGGTGGATGGGATTTCACCAGTCTCCCTTCCCGCCCTCTCTTCCCGTCCTCTCTTCCTGCCTTCCGCTCTTCCCCTCACTCCTCGCTATTATTCCCTTTGTACAAAGTGGGCGTGAGAAGCTACCGGTGTTCAAGCATAGGCAGGGGATCTTGTAACTTGTGGTGGAGACTCACGTTGTCACTGTGGTGGTTGGGATATACGAGTCTCCCTCCCCATCCTCCCTTCCACACTTCCCCCCCACTCTCCTCTGTCAGTCCCTTTGTACAGAGCGGGCGTGAGAAGCTACCGGTGTTCAAGCACAGGGAGGGCATCTTATACCTGGTGGAGACTCACGCCGTCACTGTGGTGGTGGGGGAGACAGGCAGTGGCAAGACCACTCAGATACCGCAGGTGAGAGCACATGAGTTGAAGGCTTATGAAAGGTAAGAGTTGATGTGATGAAAGCGGATGGGGTGAACCGTGAACGTGCATGTGGGAGCTGGTGCTGTCGTTCCCTTGCTATATTCCATTCCATGACGCAGAAGCTTCTCATCCCCACCTTCATGAATATTGCATTCCATCTCCACCTGTCATCTCCTCCAATGCTTTGTTCTTCTTCCAATTTTGCTCCGTTCGTCTGACCCTCCTTCCCAACTTCCCAAGCCTCCTCTCCTCCACAACACTCTCCCACCGACCCTCCTCTCCTCTCATTACTGCTGAGTCTGGCAGTACCTGGTGGAAGCAGGGTGGGCGGCAGGAGGGCGAGTGGTGGCGTGTACGCAGCCCAGAAGAGTAGCAGCTCAGGTGAGTGTCAGGTGGAATTGAGGGTATTCAGTTCATTTGGGCGTGCCCCAAGCATGGTTTGGGAGTTCATGTGTGAAATTGCTTGTTAGCAGGGGCTGTACGGTACGGTCCCTAAATCGCCTCTCTCGCCCGTACCCCCCATCTCCCTTGCAGGGACGGATGGGATGGTGAGTCGACATAATAGTGATCTTCCCTCTCCCTCGTTCCGTTTCTCCCCGTTGTTTTGCCAGATGGTGGCAAGCAGAGTGGCGGAGGAGATGGGGGTGGCTCTGGGGGAGAGAGTGGGCTACAGCATCCGCTTTGAGAACGTCACCACGCAGGTAACTGACTGGTTGGCCTCGTTTTTACTTTATGTGTGCGTCTGCACTCCACATTGAAGTCACGTTCTAGAGTTCTCGGAGTGAGGGAGGAGATGGGCTTGGCTTTGGGGGAGAGAGTGGGATACAGCATCCGTTGTGAGAATGTCACCACACAGGTAGATAACATGCCGTGACTTGCTTTTGAGTCGACTCAAAAACATGCCGTGACTTGACTTAACGTGTCTGCAGCACTCCACGTCACGTCACAGCGTATATGTGTTGTTGTGTGCCCTTCCCCATGCCATTCCCCCCGGATTCCCCACTGTCTCCATATTGGCCTTTCTCCTGTAAATTGTGCAACTCCTCCACCCCCTTCCGCTCCACCACTACAATGAACAACACCATTGGCTGGATACAATCCACCACCGCGTTGTGTCCGAGGAGGGCTTCATTATGAATGTCCTTTCTTTATTTTTCCCAGTTCCATTGGCTACACTGCACAGGGGTTTTTGGGAGTCTCAGAACTCGCGTGATGCCCGACAGTCTGCTTCATGTATGTACCTGTCGCATCTTACACTTCCCTTCCACTTTGCGTTGGCTGCACAGGGAGTGACTCAGATCAAGTTTCTCACAGATGGGGTGCTGCTGCGGGAGATGATGGAGGACCCGCTGCTCTCCAAATACAGGTCAGGCATGGTCACGCATGGTCATGCATGGTCACGCATGGTCACGCATGGTCACGCATGGTCACGCCTGGTCACGCATGGCCACGCATGGTCACGCATGGTCACGCATGGTCACGCCTGGTCACGCCTGGTCACGCATGGTCACGCATGGTCACGCATGGTCACGCATGGTCACGCCTGGTCACGCCTGGTCACGCCTGGTCACGCCTTGTCACGCATGGTCACGCCTGGTCACGCCTGGTCACGCATGGTCACGCCTGGTCACGCCTGGTCACGCCTGGTCACGCATGGTCACGCCTGGTCACGCCTGGTCACGCATGGTCACGCCTGGTCACGCCTGGTCACGCATGGTCACGCCTGGTCACGCATGGCCACGCATGGTCACGCCTGGTCACGCATGGTCACACCTGGTCACGCCTGGTCACGCATGGTCACGCCTGGTCACGCCTGGTCACGCATGGTCACGCCTGGTCACGCCTGGTCACGCCTGGTCACGCCTGGTCACGCCTGGTCACGCCTGGTCACGCCTGGTCACGCATGGTCACGCGTGGTCACGCCTGGTCACGCATGGTCACGCCTGGTCACGCATGGCCACGCATGGTCACGCCTGGTCACGCATGGTCACGCCTGGTCACGCCTGGTCACGCATGGTCACGCATGGTCACGCCTGGTCACGCATGGCCACGCATGGTCACGCATGGTCACGCATGGTCACGCCTGGTCACGCCTGGTCACGCATGGTCACGCATGGTCACGCATGGTCACGCATGGTCACGCCTGGTCACGCCTGGTCACGCCTGGTCACGCCTTGTCACGCATGGTCACGCCTGGTCACGCCTGGTCACGCATGGTCACGCCTGGTCACGCCTGGTCACGCCTGGTCACGCATGGTCACGCCTGGTCACGCCTGGTCACGCATGGTCACGCCTGGTCACGCCTGGTCACGCATGGTCACGCCTGGTCACGCATGGCCACGCATGGTCACGCCTGGTCACGCATGGTCACACCTGGTCACGCCTGGTCACGCATGGTCACGCCTGGTCACGCCTGGTCACGCATGGTCACGCCTGGTCACGCCTGGTCACGCCTGGTCACGCCTGGTCACGCCTGGTCACGCCTGGTCACGCCTGGTCACGCATGGTCACGCGTGGTCACGCCTGGTCACGCATGGTCACGCCTGGTCACGCATGGCCACGCATGGTCACGCCTGGTCACGCATGGTCACGCCTGGTCACGCCTGGTCACGCATGGTCACGCCTCGTCACGCCTGGTCACGCATGGTCACGCGTGGTCACGCCTGGTCACGCCTGGTCACGCCTGGTCACGCCTGGTCACGCATGGTCACGCCTGGTCACGCATGGTCACGCATGGTCACGCCTGGTCACCCCTGGTCACGCCTGGTCACGCCTGGTCACGCCTGGTCACGCCTGGTCATGCCTGGTCATGCATGGTCACGCCTGATCACGCCTGGTCACGCCTGGTCACGCCTGGTCACGCATGGTCACGCCTGGTCACGCCTGGTCACGCATGGTCACGCCTGGCCACGCCTGGTCACGCATGGTCACGCATGGTCACGCATGGTCACGCCTGGTCACGCATGGCCACGCATGGTCACGCATGGTCACGCATGGTCACGCCTGGTCACGCCTGGTCACGCATGGTCACGCATGGTCACGCATGGTCACGCATGGTCACGCCTGGTCACGCGTGGTCACGCGTGGACACGCCTGGTCACGCATGGTCACGCCTGGTCACGCCTGGTCACGCATGGTCACGCCTGGTCACGCCTGGTCACGCCTGGTCACGCATGGTCACGCCTGGTCACGCCTTGTCACGCATGGTCACGCGTGGTCACGCCTGGTCACGCATGGTCACGCCTTGTCACGCATGGCCACGCATGGTCACGCCTGGTCACGCATGGTCACACCTGGTCACGCCTGGTCACGCATGGTCACGCCTGGTCACGCCTGGTCACGCATGGTCACGCCTGGTCACGCCTGGTCACGCCTGGTCACGCCTGGTCACGCCTGGTCACGCCTGGTCACGCCTGGTTACGCCTGGTCACGCCTGGTCACGCCTGGTCACGCATGGTCACGCCTGGTCACGCATGGCCACGCATGGTCACGCCTGGTCACGCATGGTCACGCCTGGTCACGCCTGGTCACGCATGGTCACGCCTGGTCACGCCACGTCACGCATGGTCACGCCTGGTCACGCCTGGTCACGCCTGGTCACGCGTGGTCACGCCTGGTCACGCATGGTCACGCCTGGTCACGCCTGGTCACGCCTGGTCACGCCTGGTCACCCCTGGTCACGCCTGGTCACGCCTGGTCACGCCTGGTCACGCCTGGTCATGCATGGTCACGCCTGATCACGCCTGGTCACGCATGGTCACGCCTGGTCACGCCTGGTCACGCATGGTCACGCCTGGTCACGCCTGGTCACGCATGGTCACGCCTGGTCACGCATGGTCACGCCTGGTCACGCCTGGTCACGCCTGGTCACGCCTGGTCACGCCTGGTCACGCCTGGTCACGCATGGTCACGCCTGGTCACGCGTGGTCACGCCTGGTCACGCCTGGTCACGCCTGGTCACGCCTGGTCACGCCTGGTCACGCCTGGTCACGCATGGTCACGCCTGGTCACGCCTGGTCACGCATGGTCACGCCTGGTCACGCCTGGTCACGCATGGTCACGCATGGTCACGCCTGGTCACGCCTGGTCACGCCTGGTCACGCCTGGTCACGCCTGGTCACGCCTGGTCACGCCTGGTCACGCCTGGTCACGCCTGGTCACGCCTGGTCACGCCTGGTCACGCCTAGTCACGCCTGGTAACGCATGGTCACGCCTGGTCACGCATGGTCACGCCTGGTCACGCCTGGTCACGCCTGGTCACGCCTGGTCACGCGTGGTCACGCCTGGTCACGCCTGGTCACGCCTGGTCACGCCTGGTCACGCCTGGTCACGCCTGGTCACGCCTGGTCACGCCTGGTCACGCATGGTCACGCATGGTCACGCAGGTCACGCAGGTCACGCCTGGTCTCGCCTGGCCACGCCTGGTCACGCATGGTCACGCCTGGTCACGCCTGGTCACGCCTGGTAACGCATGGTCACGCCTGGTCACGCATGGTCACGCCTGGTCACGCCTGGTCACGCCTGGTCACGCATGGTCACGCCTGGTCAAGCCTGGTCACGCCTGGTCACGCCTGGTTGCGCCTAGTCACGCCTGGTCACGCATGGTCACGCCTGGTCACGCCTGGTCATGCATGGTCACGCCTGGTCACGCGTGGTCACGCCTGGTCACGCCTGGTCACGCCTGGTCACGCCTGGTCACGCCTGGTCACGCCTGGTCACGCCTGGTCACGCCTGGTCACGCATGGTCACGCCTGGTCACGCCTGGTCACGCATGGTCACGCCTGGTCACGCCTGGTCACGCCTGGTCACGCCTGGTCACGCCTGGTCACGCCTGGTCACGCCTGGTCACGCCTGGTCACGCATGGTCACGCCTGGTCACGCCTGGTCACGCATGGTCACGCCTGGTCACGCCTGGTCACGCATGGTCACGCATGGTCACGCCTGGTCACGCATGGTCACGCATGGTCACGCCTGGTCACGCATGGTCACGCATGGTCACGCCTGGTCACGCATGGTCACGCCTGGTCACGCCTGGTCACGCATGGTCACGCCTGGTCACGCCTGGTCACGCCTGGTCACGCATGGTCACGCCTGGTCACGCATGGTCACGCCTGGTCACGCATGGTCACGCCTGGTCACGCCTGGTCACGCCTGATCACTCCTGGTCACGCCTGGTCACGCATGGTCACGCATGGTCACGCCTGGTCACGCCTGGTCACGCCTGGTCACGCCTGGTCAAGCCTGGTCACGCCTGGTCACGCATGGTCACGCCTGGTCACGCCTGGTCACGCATGGTCACGCCTGGTCACGCCTGGTCTCGCCTGGCCACGCCTGGTCACGCATGGTCACGCCTGGTCACGCCTGGTCACGCTTGGTCACGCCTGGTCACGCCTGGTCACTCCTGGTCACGCCTGGTCACGCATGGTCACGCCTGGTCACGCCTGGCCACGCCTGGTCACGCATGGTCACGCCTGGTCACGCCTGGTCACGCATGGTCACGCATGGTCACGCATGGTCACGCATGGTCACGCATGGTCACGCCTGGTCACGCATGGTCACGCCTGGTCACGCGTGGTCACGCATGGTCACGCCTGGTCACGCCTGGTCACGCCTGGTCACGCATGGTCACGCCTGGTCACGCATGGTCACGCCTGGTCACGCCTGGTCACGCCTGGTCACGCCTGGTCACGCCTGGTCACGCCCGGTCACGCCTGGTCACGCATGGTCACGCCTGGTCACGCCTGGTCACGCATGGTCACGCCTGGTCACGCATGGCCACGCATGGTCACGCCTGGTCACGCATGGCCACGCATGGTCACGCATGGTCACGCATGGTCATG